CCTGTCGGTGCAGCTATACTGTTTCAGTATCTTGGACCGCCGTAACCGCCACACGTAGGATGCCTACCATTGTTGTAGTCGTGTTCTAGATACGACAATGAAAAGAAATTTTTGTTTGTTTTTGGTATCCACAGCATCCCCATCACTAACAGTACCGAATGTGTACGACCAGTGCACTGATTTCGGTGTAGATACTGCCACTGTGAGCTGGCCTCAAGTATATGCCACCAACCTGGGTGGAACAGCCATCTCATGTAGCGAAGGAGGAATTACAATTCCCCTCACTGGAGGTATCGCGTTTTCTGTTGGAGCTCACACCGTGACCTGTCAGGTCACTAACAACGGTTGCGATGACATGAAAAGCTTCTCCTTCACTGTTCGACGTAAGTAAGAATATAACTTTTGTGTGAGTTACAGTTCCATCTGGTAGAACTCACCCATCTTTCAAACCCTCTATGGAATCTTTGCATGAGTACTCCCGGCATATTCCTATGTGGGGAAGCTAAGGGTTACGAGCATCAAATAGAATTGGTTTCTCCTACTCTTTGTCCCAGAGCTGCACAATGCCAAGTGCTTTCTGTTGATATAGTTTATCATAGCCCCATTTGCCAATTCTTCTGTGTCCACTAATGATCTCTGTCATTGTCATCTTCTTTTTTCAAACACCCCTTTAGGTTACAAACAAATCTCAGTTGCAGAGTTGACAAAAACCCTTGTTATCCAAACGGTTTTCCTTTGTTTGCTTTATATATCAATGCACATGTTTGCATCTACCACGTCCATCACAATTAGTCTGGTAACCGGTACAAATCCAGTCCCAGTTAACAGGGGATGGAATTAACACACGAATGCGCTTGATAGGCTGTAAGTAGACTTTTGATTGGCTAAATTAGTTTGACCTCTCGTAGACTCAACTACAATGAGGCTTGATGATTCAAGAAACACTTTTTTGTTCTTTTTGGTGCTTTGTAAGTCTGCCTTAAATTGTTTAAACTGGTGGTTTTTTTTCTACATTTTCTGCCCACACAGAATCACCAGCCCTTAACCTTCCGACCGTTGCTGATCGTTGTGCAGCCCCAATGAAGGTGTATGCCGAGGTGTCATGGCCCGAAGTGACTGCCACCCACAGCGACAACAACCCCATTGTCTGTATAGCATGGGGAGTCTTGGTGCCTCTCACAGGCGGTCGACCGTACATGCAAGGCTCAATGAACATCCACACCTGCGTTGTCACCAATAATGCTGGTTGCACAGCAGTAGGAGCCTTTAACTTCAATGTGTTCGGTAAGAAATAGTCCGAGATTTAAGGATACAGTAAACACCTGTGAAGAGTTACCGATCATGTTGTAGTACATTTCCTGTCTATTTTTTTTACCTGTATAAATATTGGTAGTGTAGCTAGCACAATAGAAGAAAATTCCCAGATATTTATTGTCTTATAGTCTATCGCCAGGTCTTTGAATGGATTACTCCGAGACTGAAACGTTATCACGGTGTGTCACATTTAGAGAACTTCTATGTTCTTGATCCCAACAGCTTGCACGAGTTAACCTCAAGGAATCTGAATGGCACCCTTTAAATAACAATTTCGACAAATTAGTAGACCAACATCATACGGGACACAAGTTACCGTTTGAATTGTTTCATTATGCTGGGACGATGCAACGATGCATGCATGTCACTTATAACATTGTTGAATGTGTACATATTACCAGGCTACTATCAAGAAGAAATCAAATTCTTTACACTAGCTTTCCAGGCCAGCCACTCTATCGACTGTACCATGCTGAGGACCTCACGTTTGACTGAAATTTATTCATTGAAATTGAATCAAATTTGTTTCTTCCCGTGGGTTTACGTTGAAGGTAAATATACCGAAATTTACTTTCAATTAATACCCCGTTGGTCTCCATAGCAAATCCCCGCATTCAAGTACCCTCGGTCCCTAACCAGTGTGCACTGCCTGGACAGAATGATGTCACAGTCTCGTGGCCTGTAGTGACAGGCACATACTTGGATGAGCAATCCATCCACTGTACTGATGAGAATGGAAACAATGTACCCCTGAGTGGAGGAATCTCATTCGGTGTTGGAACTCACACAGTGACCTGCGGTGTTACTGTTGAAATCTGCAGTACTACAAGAAGCTTCTCATTCAGTGTGTATGGTAAGAATTGAATGATTGTTTATACATAATTAATGAGAAAAGTGGTCTCTTAAGCTATGAATTCATTATATTTTTTTAGTGTCTTAGTTCAGAGAGAAAAAAATGTTTAGCAGTATTTTCTTCGTAGCAGTTTGTGAATGTTAGCCACACACGAGCCAATGTTACGAAGCTTTTACATACAAACGTTTTTATTGGGGGGCATAATTTGATATAAGGATTGCAATTTGTTTATGATCTTGCGTTTTTGCAATCCAGATAGCAATTTTCTTCCTTTCGGAGTCGCAGTTGGAGATCGTTTACTCTCAGAAGAACCTCAACCAGTAAGTAACAGCTGAGTTTAAAGATATTTGATTTGTATCAAGTTGGTAACCTCATTCTGATTCTTCCACTTTATAAAACACGTGTCAGTATTGATTTTAGGAATCAGTCAATGTGTCTAGCTCCCCTACCTCTATACAGCGGCGGTGGAACGCTTTTCAAATAAAAGGGATCACCAAAAAGGGGTGCTTGCTCAGAATAGTCACCTTCCGTCGGTGTGGAACTATTTTCGTTCACATTGCTAGGAATACATGTTACCCGAAACAAAAACCACTAACAACATTGATAAACAGTTTTAATTAATCATGTTTGCAATAAAAAAAAATCTTTATTTCCTTATTAAAAAAATACAGTTTAGGCCTCTTTGAAATAATCTCAATATAGCTGTATTGTTCTCAAAAAAGGTAATTTGACACTTGGGAGAGCCCTTCGGCCTCCGGCACACCCCGGTGTAAACTCTTTGGTTTGCTCTTAAATAGTTAGGTCTATGCAAAGGGACCAATTGTTGTATCGTGAGTGGGGCACTGTTGCTTTTGATGGCCAATCAGTGACCATTTTTTGTTCGCACGAGGAGCACTATTTTCTTTAAAGGCCCGTTTTCCAGCTTGGGAGAGGCACAGTTGTAATATTGCGAGTGGGGCACTTATTGCGCTTTCGAGTGGCGGTTTCCATCCCGAGAGGAGCACTATTGGTTTTTGATGGCCAATTTCCTACCTCGAGAGGAGCACAATTATATAATTGCGCTTGAGCTTTCGATTGGTAGATCTTGTTAATGCGCTAGGGGTAATTGTGTTTTTGAGGAGCACTTCTGCATTACAAGAGAGAAGACAGTTTTTAAGCGCGATCATAATACTTACATGTGTGCGTTTGAGGGGCAGTTTTGTTTTTTCATTTCGAGGGGGCACATTTATGATCGCGAGATAGGGGCACTTTTCTTGGCCTGAGCAAATCTTGGGGGGGGGGGGGCGGTTCCGCCGCCCCTGCCCCTATAGCTCTACCTCTAACAATCTGTACGACCCAAAACCACGCCAGTCCGAAACTGTTGATCGAAGAATAAATACAATGCAATATAAATGCCGATGCCTTGACTGGCTTAGCTTCTGTCCCCATGAAAAAGGAGAAAGTGTTGAGATGGCGATTCATGAATTTCTGTGCAAAATTAAAGGCAAACTTTTCAGTAAAGAACATATATTTATAACTCTTGGATATACAGCGTCCTTGCACCATACTACTGAATTCTTGAATCGTATATACTTTTTAATATACATTGAAAAGTTAATGAAGACAAATATTGTTCTCTCTGAAAATAATTTCAAACGGTTAATGGTAACATTAATTATGTGCAGCTTTAAATACGTCTGTGTGAGGCATGTCCATGGGTCTGAAAAGGAATGAGGCTGATTTTTAAAAACAGATTTTTCATCCCTCGCCAAGCATTTTTATTGCTATTGGAGTCATGTAAAACGCGCTTTGACTTTAAAATTCAACGATTTTTATGTCTAAACAGCCATCACTGCCATCTGACAAAGATTTGGTCTCACGGATCTTCAGTCCACCAAATTTCTTTCCATTCTGCAATGAGCTGCATGAGAAAATCTATGTAAGTATGACGAGCACGAATAACGAGGACCAAACATTTTAATGTGACTGAGTATCTGTTTGAAACTTTAAAAGATCGGCTTATGTGTCACTTATTTTTTTATTCACTTGCAGTAGAACTGCACTATACTAAAAACCGCAAAAGTGTACCTAATATTTGGCTGTAACAAACATTTACTTAATTAATATACAATTAAACTAAACATTGCAGGCCAAAATTGGTGTAACAACGTAAAACTAACCGGACAAGCTTTGGGGAACCCAAATAATATTAACAATCTGTAATTGTTGAAAGACGCTAGGCTTTGAGTTGTTAAACAAACATGGTCACTTATGATACCACATTCGTGAGAAATGGTAAGACACGTTAAGTGTACCATTTGGAGCCAAGCCATCATGGTGTCATCAGAAAACAGGTTCTGTGTCGATGATTGAGAAAAGACATATTAGCAAAGGTTAAAATAAATAACTTTTGTGTATAGCATTGTAACAGATCTATGCTGTATATATTTCGACTTGTGTGACAAGATTCATTTCACCTCAGTTTCTTTATCCTTACCATGTGCCAATTTTATCCACAGACTTTGGGCTAAGTATTGAAAAACAGAAATTTGTGTATATTGCAATTACAGTAAATTTTGCCCCTGGTGTTAGTGTTTGCTCATTGCTAATTTATGGTCTTTGTGATACCGACAAGTGCTTTTGCTTACATAAAATTGTGGGCGGAGCAGTGCCATGAAATTGTTACATATATCTAAATTGAAAGTTTGATTTGTTTTTGCTCTGCTTACACATCTTTGATTGTCTGTTTCATCAGTTCACAGATAATGGTGTAATCGTCTTTACCAATGCGCAAAGTCTGAACAAACGAGCATATCCCCGTACCACAAAAAGTTTCTTCAGGGGCCCCACAAAAATGGTTGCGCCCTTTTGGGCTAACGTCAACAGCACAAGGTTTTCTCAGACAAGGAATGTCTTCTTTCAGGTGAGTTGGCTTTGACTATTATTACTCCCTTTATGAAGTGATTCTGTAAAAGAACAAAACAGCCAAAAACTAGCGATTTGCGTTTGTTGAGTTACAAACGCCGGGTGATCTTTTGTTTATTGGACATTGTCCAGTCATCTTTAATTGTTTGTAATTGAATATACGATGACGTCACAAACAAATTCTCATTTCCAGTCAAGGGTCCATGTCCATAGACGTTTCATCATCTTCTCTTAACTCGTTTCAAACAAAAGTTTTTTTTTTTTTTATTTTCACGCTTGTTTTGCACATTCCGGTAATTACCCTTTGAAGGAAAGGTCAGACGATTTTGACTTACAATATCCAAAATCTTTACCGGGGTGATTTGCCCCCCCCCTCAAAAAAAATCCTTGTAACTGTTGAAACAGATTCGCTTGATTGTACAGAGGTCTTCCTATTGGCTTTTTCCTTGGCCTTATCTTCACCCATACCCCCGTAGACGTTCTTTTCCACATCTCGTCTTTGGCGTCTTTCAACCAGTCTCGACAGATAGCATTGTTTTTTTTTAAGTTAAAACTACTCTCACCTTCATCCGATAATTCGTCTTCTTCCACTTCTGTTTCGAATTCCGAATCATCTTCCTCAAAATCGTAGTCCTCTTCCGGCGTAGATTCAGTTCCACAATTTGTTTTATCCAAATTTTAAACATTTGCTTTTAAAAATCGGGTTTATAACTTTCCACGACATAATTTTTAGATTGAATAGTTTCCACTAGAGATCATCGTCAACTATATTCATTTTAGATTCCTCTTCAGTATGTACACTTTCTGCATGACTCCGTAGGTTATATCTGATCCAAAGCTTTTGTCACTCTGATGACGACTATGGTGTTAGATTCAGCAGGAAAAAAACATTCACGTTGAATATGTAACTACTCACTTTGCGCGTATCTCTGGTCTCTGTGCTCAATGAGCAACCATGAGCGAATCAGCTGTGTAATGAGTAAACTGAGTAATACAAGAACAAGCAATATGCGAATGAGCAGTGAAATTAGTAAAATGAGTAATAAAAGAGCAACAAATATGCGAATGAGCAGCGAATTGAGTAAAACATGAGTAATAAAGGGCACAAATGAGCATCCGTGCAAATGAGCTGCGAAATGAGTAAAATGAGCATTAGTACAGCACGTCGGGCCATTAAGAGAACACATTCACCCGAAAACTTGTGAACAAATCGTGAAAAAAAACACACATGTATATATATTATGTTAGAAATCAATGACATTTTAATGTGGAGAATTGAGGACTTCAAAACTGCTTTGTTTAATTCAAAGCGGCATGCACTATTGCTTTTTTCCTATCTGACTCTACTCATGAAGCATGCAAGTATGCGTTGCAAGTACACGTACGCCGCTTTTAATACCCCCTGCGTACTGTCATGTTTTCGTGAAATGGATAGTGGACTGTCAGTATATTTAAGCTTATACAAACAATATTCTTACTATCTAATTACCTTTGGAAAAAAACATATGCGCAGTAGCATCTTCCACCAGAAAAAGAATGGGGGGGGGGGGATAGCTATGAAAGGAATATGTTTTCCAAGTTAAATGATGCTTCCAGAAATGTGCTTCTCAAATGTGAGCGAGGACGGTGCGTATACAACCGGTGCCCATATGCAAACCGCTAAACTTGCACCAATGAAAATAATAGATTAATAACCGCTATGATAAGTGGACATTGCAAGCACTGAATTGGATGGACACAATGCATCTTACTGACTGGCAAGCGTATGGCACTCTCAAAAAAAGGAATTTTATTTTGAACAGGCACGAGCCTGTATACCATGCTCCTGGCTCTCAGTGCAACTGAGTCAAGGGATGCTCTGTGTACGGATTGCTAATATTCAACCCTCCTTTTTTTTTAAAGGTATATGATGACAGTAGCTCCACCATGTTATCTACATTGAGTGGTATCGTGTCTGCCGAGTATGGCAACTTTACTGCAGCCTGGGCTGTAGTCATCACATGGCGCTATGTAGAACCTCTCTCACCTGATAAGGTAATTAAATATTTGCTGCATTTTCTGTCATACGTGTGGTGTAACCTGAACTTTCTTAGCAAATAATATGCAGATTTTGAAATTTTTCTGCAATGCCGAAAAGGTGAACTTTACATCCACAGGCAAAATGACCTTCTGACATTTGTACAGTACCGTATTTTCTTTAGGCACAGTTTAATGTTGACTACAAATTGGCTAGAGTGGGCCTGAATCTCCGACCCTCGGATTGCTGTTTCAGTAGCAATTGTGCTCTCCAGCTATGGTTTAGTCAGTTTACCATGTCTTTAAAAACATTTCAATTACAGAAAAAAAATCTAAGCTCCACTTCTAAGTTAAATTTGGGTTTTTCTGTAAATGTAGGATCCAAAGTCACATCATTTTGTATTTGATGGCTAGGTAGCTTGCTGTTTACGATACTCGTGGAGGACGACTGCATTCAATGCACTATAACGTTAAATGGTTTACACCAATCGATTTCATGGAACCCTGTGTATGGTACATGTAACTCTGTGCAATGTTTGGTTGCAAATAATATAGTGCAAAAAGTGCAAGAACATCACGTGCATGACAACATGATGATGACGTTGTTTCTAAAGTTGTTTGTAGGGGTATGCAAAATAATTTGTGTAACAAGGTTGAATACCATGCTTTAGTTTACACTGATGTGTAGAATAGACTGCCAGAACAATTTTCTCAGAAACATATCAAACCCGATAAAACTAGTCAGTTTTTGGTGTGTGAAGAATAATTTTACCAAACTGTGATTTGAGCCTGTTTGGATTCATATCATTATCCTTATTGTGCCTTTCCCCTTGTTTCAAAGAATACCAACTCTTTCCAAGCTGTGCTTGTGACAGATTACATTCATGGGTATGTTATCTTCAACTACGACCGCTGCGGCATGAACTGGAATATGAAGGCCTTAGCAAACGTCAACGTCATCCAGGGCTTCGCCTGCGGACAATCTGGCACCAAATTCTACCTGAACATACCGAGCCACCTGCGTTTCCGCCCTGGAAATGTTGTTGGGAATACTGGGTTATACGGACGGTGGGTCCAGCGACTTGACAGCCTGCCAGACGATTTTGTCAATCCCCGCTTGTTCTGTCGGAACTGGTACAGTAGGCAGGTTTTTGATGACTTCTCCCGTTCGTACTACAATTTGTTTGCTCACACATGTCCGTGCAGCTGGATCCAGGCATTTTTGGACCCAAGATGGGAATACATCGGCTACAGATATTTCCTCCCAAATTCAAGAAGGAGCACATATTTCGGTAAGTAGCCTATCCACTTCCCTTATATGTCAGTGCATGTTTGAATGCCCTCGCAAACAGTGGGCACTTGTCTTTTGACTTGATAGTCTAACAATCTTAAAACTATTTGAATAAGTCAAAAATTAACAGGTCAGGTAATCCAAGGCTTTTTTTATGAGTTAAAACTGATGCTACCGAGATATTAGGACTCTTTCAATCCGCATAAAAGCAGACATAATGTACTTAAAGATTGTTTTGGAGAAGTTCTGCATTTAGCACTTTCAGAATTTAGGATATGAAAGCCCAAGTCATAAGCTTTCTTTTAGTACAAGGAATAAATCAAATCACTCATGTACTTTTCAAGTTACGACATTTTCAACACAACCACCGTTTCAAAGTTCTGTTCACGGATCACAAAAAATGTGTGTGTTCTTTCAGCAAAAGGAAAAACAATTCACACACATCCCTATGTGACTTGTTTTCGTTTTGCTGAAAGAACACGGAACTTTTTTTGTGATCAGTGGACAGAACCTTAAAACAACGGATGTTTTTAAAACTCTGTACCTTAAACATGAGTGATTTGAATGATTCTTGTACTGAAAGAAAGCTTATGAATCGGGCTTTCATATCCAAGATTTTAAAAGTGCTACATGCAGAACGTCACTAAAACAATGGTCCCGACATTTGGGTTTCGTTATTTTTTACTCACCCTGTACAATCTCACTAAACATATTGCTGATAAATTCAAAATTGTAGAATCTTCTACAGTGCTACACTAAGAAAAAAAAATAACACGTAATATGCGTGACAACCAAGTTATTATGTACGTCTCCTTGCACACTAATAACTCCCTGTACTTTTCATATTCAATGTAATTTCCATGCAGCTGCTGTTTGCTATGTACGGATGTGGCAGTTTCCTTATACACCAGGCCCAATATGCTGCTACAGTACATGGACTTGGAGTCTTATCCGAGGCGTGAGAAGTGCAGTAATTGCTTCCGTATTTGCGTCTTATCCAGTCAGTCCGTGGTTTTACTCATCTAGTCTGTTTAATCAGTGGTATGGTAAGCACATAATAAGAAAACACATCATCCATAGTCCCCAAATACCTTAGCAACATTACATTTATACCATTAGCTAAAATACCTTTCCACACTTTATTTTGTGGGAGCTTGGTGGGACGAAAACCACCTTGTAAACAAAGCGAAATGATCATTATGTCTCAGGTAAATTCAATAAGAGTGTTGTATGGTACGCAAAACAAATCGAACAATATTTGACAGAACCCCCCCCCCCCCAGGATTTCAGCCAAATGTTCATGCAGTGCATATTGCCTATGACCTCAACCGATCCTCAATCGATCCTTAGCTGATGTGTGCAGTGCTTTCTGCTGAGCAGCTCGGTGACAATGAGGCCCAGCTTTGATGGTGTAATGTATTGTTATCGTGAATCCAATATGTTGTCCCATATTTGTTTTGGAACAAGAAGCAAAATGATGAGGTGGCCCAATTGCTTGGAATTTGCTCAGCAAATTTCCTATTTTATACACAGATGAGGATGTACTGGCTCGGTATTACTGCTGTTCATCTTCTACACTCTGCGACCTGTACCTTGAGAACAGACCGGCCATGGGTTGCTGGAGATACCAACCCCCACGGCGGGGTAGGTTTGCAACATTGATTTTAAACATTCTGAAAGATCGATGAAAAATATATATTACACAGACGAGGCTGGTGGAAAATAAGTCTGCCCTTTCAGATCTAGGCTGTGCAATCAGATAAGTTTCTGTATACATAACAAATATCCATACTAACTATACATCTGTACGTATTCAATTATATGAGACAGAGGGAATGTTTTTGTTGTAACTCACTTCGTAGGTCCAAACGTGAACACTCTTTCATGTCAATGAAAAGCTATATATTTCTCGGTGTTTAACATGCAAAAATTGGACATCCTGCAATATAGTGAGTCAAATTAAATGATCAGGCTGGTGTCAAATGGTCGATACAAGAGTCTGACATATTTGTTGAAGATTTTTTTTTCTGGTTTTATTCTAACACAAATGCAGGCATTGATTTTAATTTTTTTTATTTTCAAAGTCTGGTCTTGGGGAGACCCCCACATCAAAACTCTAGACGGAATGGAGTACACCTTCAATGGTCTTGGTGAATACACGGTAGTACTCGTCGAAGATGACAAAGGAGCAAACAGCTTTCAGCTACAAGGCCGGACACAGCGCGCTACCAATGCAGAAACTGGTCAACTGACGGATGCAACATTCTACTCTGGGTTTGCGGCAGAGTATCTCGGAGTTGCAAGGGTTTGTAACACTTCATTTTCTCGTGACACAACACAACAACCTTTGTCTCCAAACTTACAGAGATCGCACGTTTCTGCACGTGTTTTACACCAGATCAAGAACGATCAGAAATATTTCACTTAGAATAAAATAATGCACTTTATCACTGAAGGATATAATACATTAATCTCCACAAACACACGGTTGAGTCCCAAACTCTCTTTTATCACCTGATGGTTGCTATGGTGCCGAAAAACGCCTGATTGCAGCTGGACACCCCTTGATGGCATGAAGCCAAAAACGATATTCATAGGTGTAACGATAGATAATTTTCTAGGGTGATACAAATATCATAAGTTCAAGCACGCGCACAGCGAACTACGTCCATATCCAGGGCAAGAAAGGCCAGTTCGGCTTAGTGTTTTGAAACATCACAAATAAACCCACCTCCTCCCCTTCATATGCACCCACCAAATTTTACAAATTTATAAATGACAAAAAAATTGTTGCGACGAGCAGTGCCTCATTCAAACTAAATAAACAAGACTTTGGATTTGGACGTTAAATATTAAAAATATTAAATAAGTTGTGTTTAATCTTTTTAAAAAAGTAAGCGAAGCGCCTATTTGTACTGATGGGGCTTTATAATCGTATTTACGAGCTGTGGGAAAAATCAGCGTGCTTTTCCAATTTATAAAGTACTTTTGGCATATATTCAAGTCACGTGACAAAACTTAAAACACTTTGGCTGATGTGGCTAGTGAATTGTTGGCGAGGGTCCCAAGGTTTTGGGCCCAGTGATGCCAAGCATGGCAAGAAGGGGGAATCGTCCCCCGTTTTATAGCAAGCGTGCCAAAATGTTTAGGCAAATATCTTTTAGCAACAGAACGATAATTTGATTTGTTCCTTTAAAGTTGATCAAGGGATTCATGGCCATTTAATGAAGTTAAACATTGACCAAGTACAAATAAGATAGCGGTTCAAAAACAATGCCTCTCAAAAAAAAAACCAAGTCATCACCTGAATGTGTGGTTTTGTGTGTTGCCTGGCTTGAGAATAATGGTTTGTAAAGTTGCTGAACCTCTTCAACTTGACGTGCATCTGTTGTGTTTAATGAGGGTGAGTTTTCCCCCAGGTTGAAGTGAAATTGAACAGAAGACAGCAGGCTGATGATCTGATAACAACGGTCAATGGAAATATTGTCACGCCTACAACAGCAGGTACATGTGCAATTGATGGTGTTTACTTTTTATCTTCACGGTCACACCCCACCCCAGCCCCCCCCCCCCAAAAAAAAAAAAAAAAATAAATAAAAAGTATGGTAGAGTAATAATCCCAACATCGGTGCTTATCACTCCACCATAATAGCACGAGTAACTTGTTGACGCTATCGGATTAGGTCATGTGCAACTTCCTGTGCTGTCCTTAAATATTTTAGTGGCCCTTAATAACCCTTTGAGTGACAATTTACTAATTATAAAAATGGCCTTTGGATTAAGCTTGTGCAAATGTATTACGGTGACTTCAGTATATACAATTCCATATTTTCAGGATTGCTAATTGGCAATGTGACTGTCAAAAGGGATGCATCGACTAACAAAGTGGTCACCACGTTCCCCGGCGATATTCAGTTTACAGTAGGAGTAAACAACAGCATTGGAGACATGACTGTCCAGTTTGGGGAAACATACCGTGGGAAAACCAAAGGATTAATGGGTGAGTGCAACTCAAATTACTCAAATTAAATCTTTGAATACTTACTTAATTCCCTTGTAACTGTATGAAATTATAGAATGCACTCTGCCTTCATTCTGATTTATACGAATTTCCAGTGTTTTGTCAAGTCCTAACAAGCTGTTAGAAGTCCACCACTATCCAATTGCAAGCCATCTAGTCCTATTATTTCAATGAACTGACAGACGCGTGCTTTTGTTATCACCCATTTGGATATCTCGATTTACCTGTGATAGACTCTTTTTACAGTATTCGAAATATTTCCCGATAAATGCCAGCGCACCATTGGCCCAATGTTCTGTCACAAGGGTCTACTAATAGATCTCCAAAGAAATGCGAAGAAAGTGCTGCATTCTACGCATGACATGAACAAAGTGTTGCAAAAACATAAGACAAAAGGGAAGCCAGCATCATAAAGGCATCCGGCAAACAATACTTAGCAAATTATTATAGACCATGTGGTTTTGCTTACAGAGTTGGATTGTATGGTCATGTGAATTCAACATAAATCAAATGGTTTTCTTCCGCACTAAGTGTACATCTCTTGAAATATGACTGGTTGAAAGGGGTTGACATATACTTTTTAATGAGGCCAAATAACGTGCAAAGATTCTTACTTTTTTGCGGTTGCCCATCGGCATGACGTCACATGGCACATAGTTTATAAAATTTCAAGATCTTTGAAGGCATGGACTTTTTTTACGATGAAACCATTTCGGTCGGGTTCCCTGTATGTATTTTATTAATGTTTAACTGTTGAATTGGACGGTGCCAGACTATATACATCTTAGCCTTACTTTAATTTCTTTTTAAACATTGGGTTGTGTTGATCACACATTTGTAATTTATTCATTAGAGCAGACTGGTATGATAGGCCTATGTAATTAATTAATTGTTATGTCGTTGCTTTCATTTCTCTTCGCAAGATTGACAAAAGAAGATTTTACCTCACCTTCATTTCAATATGGCCGACCCGTGAATAACGCCCCTTGCCGTTCTCATATATCCTTGTCGTTGGAGGGAAGGTTCTTATTCTGTAAATATGAATGTCTGCTGTTTAGGTGTTTGGGATAGCGACCAAAGCAATGACGCAACCAGACGTGATGGTACTATACAAGCAGGCACCGGTGAAAACGGAGAGATGATTGAAAAAGACTTTTATAGTTTTGGTGAAACGTGTAAGTCAATCAATCAGGTTTAAGTCAATCAACTTTAAACAGTTATTGATTGTTTTGAAATTGTTTTGGATGGTATATTTACTTGCATTAAGTTGTGATACCTCTTCGAAGTTTAAGGTATTTTCCGAATGGAGTACGCAGGTAGTTTGGGAAGAGGTAGGAGGCAAACCAGGCAAAGACTTCCCAAGAAAAAAACCCACCTAATTAGGTAGGGACTAAAAACGCATTCCACATAATGGTTTCAGCAATATTGGAACCCAGGTCACAGTAATGGAAGGGCGAAAGATATTTAAACAGTAACCTGAGCCCTGATACATGCAGAGTATTCATGCAAATGCTGATTACAACAACAATTGCCGGATACAGATGATATGTGTTTGCCAGGTAAAGAAACCATTCTTTTCCTAGTTAATTTTTCAGCTTTATTCTTGTCAAAAGTCTTGTATACCTTTTGCTGCTTGCAGGGCGTATCACTGAACAGGATTCCCTCTTCTACTATGTGGGTGATGAGAGTTATGCTCTCTCAAACGACCATTCCTTCGTGCCAAGTTTCTATGAAGATCTTGTCGCAGCTGCCACTCCAGAAAAACTTGAAAAGGCACAAGAGCTGTGCGGGGACAACAAGATGTGCTTGTTTGACACTCTGGCTACAGACGACGAAAACATAGGACAGTCTACAGTGATGCTGAATGAAATGAACTCTGCAACCGAAAGTGCTGCAAGTAAGTACAGCCTATAATTAATATACAGGCTAAGTAAAAAAAAAAGCGGAACCCAAGCCTCCAAAAAAAAATTCATATTTCAAAACATGTAGCACCAAAAATAATAGAGACTGGAAAGCCAATTTAATAAACTACTTTTGGATAAACAATTACCTAAATTCCTCAATCCCTTCAAAGTATATCATTTACACACAATGACCTTAAAACCTCTCTTGTCCAAAAATGCAATTTCAAGAATTGTCGTCACAATGTCTTCAAACATCACCAGCGATAAAACCTCAGTTTAAAAGTTAAAAATATTCAACAAAATCCTTTTGAAGGCCCGCTTTGTTAAAAAAAGGGATCTCATTAATCATATTATTTGCCTAAGCGATATTCTTTGAGCGGATTGAGCAATTTCTGTAATTTTTTTCTCATCTAAAAGCAGTTTCTGAAATTGGCTATGCAGTCATTCTTATATTGAAATATGAAATATTTGTTTGGGGTTTGAGTTCCGCTTTTTTTTTGGACTCACCCACTAAGTAGCTCTTCGTAGAGAGCTCTTACGCATGCTCACTTAGTACCATGCTGAAGAGTATGCAAGTAACCTATCTTTCAAATACAGTATAACTTCCCTACAACCTCCCTATTTATTTTTGTTTTTGGTCAGTATTGGTAAAAAATGGGAGCCAAAGGCGATGATAATTATAGCCAAATGTCCGGTATTTGACTGTTGTTTGTTTATTTTTAACATTTCGCAGCCAATTTCCCGCCAAACATAACCGCTTCGGATACCTTGCGGGTGATCGTAGGAGTGGAATTAACGGAGCAACTGGGAGCCATTGATCCAGATGGAGACGATGTTACATTTGCATTGGTTGAGCCACTCGCAAAAGCAACCATCACTGAACAGGGTTTGCCTTCCATGAGCATTATTTTATGAGAGCAGTGTACTCACTGCAGTCAAATGTAACCTGCGAGAACAAAAGCATTGCCTCAATTGTGTGACTTGAACCAACGAACTAAAGCTCTTGCCAAGTCCAGATCCAAAAGAGATGCTTTCTTAACTCTTCCCGAACCACTCCTCGACTGGCCAGTGTTACTTATATGCATAGGCCTTATGGAAACTATCCAAAATGCCTGGGCTTACAAAAAGCCCAGCAACCCATGTCAGGAAAATCCTTGATCTGCCACCGCTAGCTACTTCAGTGCTGATGTTCATAAGCATTAGACTTAAAATGTACTGCTCACGCTTTTTGACAACAAATTTTATTCTCCTAAAAGATTGTATTATTGTATATTTTATCTTAATAACAAAAAACTACTATGTTCTATTTTGGGCAACCTTAACCCTCTGTAAAAACGGAGTTTACTATTGATCTGCCCTGCAAGAGTCGGTCCCTACATTACCCATTCTGATAGAGGCAGAAACAAACTAACTAAGCCGACCCTTCTAGGCAAACACATATTACAAACAGCACATCTAAAAGTAGAAGTACGGCAAATAAGGCACATTCAACTTAAAAATTTTAACATGCATTAACACTTCGATAATTACAGGTGGTCTCTTCAAATGGACACCAATGGACAAGTCAAAAGTAATGATTGGTTTCCTAGCAACAGATGGCAAAGCTAATGCAACACACGAACCTATCGTACAGCTCTGTGACTGCATGAACAGTGGCATGTGTTTGTGGGATGAGTTTGTGATCGGCACAAATATTGTCGAAGACCGTTTTGGGGTAAGTGCTTGTTGCTTTTACTGAACCTGACGGGCGTCGACGAGCGTGTCGGCCCTGATGGGCCAATGGACCTGACAGGACCTGATGTACCACATGGACCTGACGGATCTAATGAACCTGAGTGACCAAATCGGCCTGACATCCTGATGGACCTCAGGGACCTGATGAACCTGACGGGCCTGATGGGCCTAACATATACCTGATAGACCCGACAGGCCTGACGGGTCTGAGGACCCTGTCAGACCTGACGGTCCTGAGAGGCCTAACAGGCATGATGACCCTGAACCCGATGGACTTGACAGACCTGATGGACCTGTTGGGTCTGACGGGTCCGACATGGCTTAGGAGCCTGGAGGGTCTGATAGGCCCAACATACCCAACGGGCCTGATGGACCTGACGGACCTGGTGGACCTGGCGGTCCTGATGTACTTGACTGACATGAATGACCTGGCGTTCCTTAAGGACCTCTCAAGCCTCATGGGCCTCATAGACCTGACCGATCTGACGGGCCTGACGGACCTGACGGACCTGACGGACCTAAGGGACCTTGAGGGCCTAACGGACCAGATGGACCTGAACGGCCTGATGACGACGTAATGACAGTCACGAACCAGGCAGACCTGACAGACATGAAGAACTTGACGGGCCTGACGACACTTATATAAGTTTGTAAACGATCAGATTTTCCAGACGGGTAGATTTAGCCACGTGTGGAAGCTGTGTTGGATGCTAGTGTGAAAAATCGTTAGGTTCAGCACTGAGATTATGAAAGCATGAAAGGGCTTTCACAGAAAGTGTCCTGCTCGAGGACATGGGCTAAATTTGTAGAAACTACCTTAAAAATAGTTGGATGTCTATAGCAATATAATCACAAGTATGAAGTAATTTAGATTTTTGTTCACATTTATAAATTGGCCATTGTCAATCATTTCATATCTAGGTGGTGCTATGTGAGTGTAAACCTGGCTGGAGTGGTGAGTTCTGTGAAGTGAATTACAATGCCTGTGAGGACGGCCCTTGTTTCATGGGCGTAGCCTGTTTTGATGAGCAACCACCGTCTCTAAACAGCACCTGTGGCCCTTGCCCTGAGGGACTTGAGGGTGACGGCAGATTCTGTCAGGGTAGGCACAGACTTTCTTGGTAGGCCCAGACTTATTTGCCCATAGACCATAATATTAACAGTGACGTCAAATAGACAAGCCACCAATAAGCAACTCTAAGATTATTGCATCTTTTGCATGTTATGTCGCCCACAGTCAATTCAATTTCAAGAGATATGCATGATGTATCAAAAAAGGTAATCCACAAATAATGGGTTAATATGTAAACGTTACGAACTTGAATACTGTCAAAGTGGCTCCATCAGAAGGGGTAGTTCACTAACGTTTCGATAATATCTTAATTGCATCTCTTCAGTCATGATGACCGAGCACCATTGATTTAAAAAAAAACAAAGGCCAACAAACCCCTGTTTCCAAGTTTGCTGAATCAGTGGTGAGATATGTCAGAGATGTTCAAGCTTAAAGCATGATATTCCATCTATACTTACCTTTCAAGATGTTTTCTCCTACCCAATCAACACATAATCCACTGTGTCTGGGCACTTTTTCGGACAGCTGCTCAATTCACCAATGAATCAGCCAAACGTGGAAAAAGTGATGACAAAATCTCTGGAATGTTAAATAATTCATGGACTACATTATTTTGTACCATTTGAAGCAACAACATCTTTACCTTACCCCTTTTAACGCACTGTCCACAGCGACAGCGCATTCATCCCACAGCTTAACTCAGCAACAGGGGTTTGTTGGCCATTGTTTTGAAATCAATGGTGCTCTGAAGTCATCCGTGACTGAAGAGATGCAAATAAGATATCAGCGAAGAGCTATTGAACCACCCTTTAAGGTTCAAAATTCAAAACTGTTACATATTAGCCCATTTTTGTTTATTACCTTTATTTTGTACACCCTGTTCTTGCAATGCAGGTGAGAACAGAATTTTCATAAAAATTGGCTTCACATGACCACAGTGTATAATTGTAGAAAGTACTAAAGGACGTAAATCCTCGGGATAGAGAGGATATACCCCCACTCTTCTTTTGGCCATGGAGATGGGCCATTTATCCATTCCATTCCCCCCACATAAACAGAATAAACAGTTGAGTAGCTAAAAATGCACCAATTTTATTTAGGGGTAAAGGATGTAAGCGGGAAAGCTTACATCTTACTTAAAAAAGAATATGAGCCTATTTTGAGGGCCATGTTGTATGGTCGGTCAAAGTTTGAATGTAGTTTGCATCATTAGAAAACTACATGCAGTTGCAGAGTTTGATGGATCGGTGTTAATTGTCTAATTCGGCGAATGAGGGGTTGACGTCAGCAGCACAAAAGGAGGCACATATGGCCTTGGTACTTACTGAAAGGGAGGGGGAGGGGGGCTAAGCCACCTCTACCACCCACCATCTTCTCTCGTGATATATGATATCGACAAAGAACACAGTGATTCTAATCATCTGATAATGACGTTTTGAAACTGAATACTTAATGATTGATATGTATGGATCTCAGATCAATTTTGAATGGTGCACCATGTTACCCTGAAGATGCGCTGTTGATTTTCCTGCAGATGTCGACGAGTGTGAGCTGTACAAAGACGAGCCGGCCAGCAGTGGTGGACGCGGTTGTGATCAGATCTGCGAAAACATCCTCAAGGACTACAACTGCAGCTGCAAATCTGGCTACTCTTTGTACATTGACAACAGGCGATGCATCGGTATGTCCTGTATTCGTTGTCTGCACATATACATAGATAAGCCTGCGGAAAGTGAGCGGACACCATACATCAGAAGTGATCTCATTAAAGGCCCATGGTTGCAATTTTTTTTAATGCAGTCCTTGAAAATGCTTCTTTTTGTCCCCTTTAACCTTATGTGTAATTTTCGTTTTGCCATTCTAAGAGTTTTTAGTTGTTTGTTTTCATGCGAATCCGAATTTCAGTATTCGTGATCAAAACTGTAATCTCATTACGGGCAGAAACCTCAATGTCACAACTTTTTCAGCCCACAAAAATTGCTAATATGATTGATATTATGATGTCATTCTTTTTTTTTTTTTGGGGGGGAGGGGTTGAACAGAAAACCCCTAAGCTAAACAGTGTCTTTCTGAAATGACATCCACAACAACTATTGTTGCCCTCAGTTGTCCAGAAAAGCACGGAAATGTTAAATGTTTAAATGCGTGCACTTTTCAAATATATTATCTGAAAAGAGAAGTACAATTTTAAACATTTTAAACAAGTAGAAAGTTCCCAAAAAAATGTGTTCCCAAGAAAAAAAAGTAATTGCACGGATCCTGTGAATATCGGATAATTAGGTAAAGAAAAGGTTTCAACAATAGCCTTATTGTATCAGGTACTTCTTGTATAATATTCAGAGCAACTTTCACCGATCCTTCCTGTGATGAAGTTGTCATTTACATTTGGTGACTCAGACTATAGCATCCATGCTCATTTATTTCTGATGGTGTCCTGAATTTCTGCCAAGGTGCCCCATAAAGAAAGAAAAAAATAACCAAGATGAAAAAAACCACCCCCCCTTTAAAACTTTATTGAAAAGTATTCTAATTTCGGCCTTTTTCCTTCAAGTCTAGTTTAAGTCTTGTCGTATCAGAGGATTTCAGGCACATCGTTTCTTGTCAGCCTTTCACTCTGTGAAACCAGGAGTTATTACAGTTGTGTTTGATTCACATGATGTAGATATCGACGAATGTGAAATGGACCTGGACAACTGTGACTTCAACGCTGTGTGTAACAACACCCAAGGCGGCTTTGAGTGCAAATGTAATCCAGGCTTCCGGGATGACTTCATGGATGGAACATCATGTACAGGTATGTGTGTTTATGAGGACAGCTGATGAGATGTCAGAATACATTGTACAAGCACGAACTCAAGCACAGTTACAACAGTTACAAAGTGAGAGACAGTGGGGCTGAAGGACTGCTGAAGATGGAAGAGACACTTGTGTTCATTGGTGCTGTATGCCTGCTGCACGAGATGCAGCTACATGTTTGTAGACATGTAATTTGGAAATTGTGCATACTTCACACGCCTGTGCACGCGAACCTTTGCAATAGTTAGTTGTGGAATTAATTATTCGGATAATTCACCATTCACTTATACTATTGTGGTAAACGCGTCCATGTTATTAAGGGAAGACATTGAGACAAAGGCAACCAAAGAAACTTCTGTTAACAAACTAATCCCATCAGACACGTTGAAACACCTAAAAGCTTGATATGTGCCAGCCTTTGAGGCTAGCTGACAGCCGACTCTGGACTAGATTAAATTACAGGTACCAAACCACACCGTTTTTTCTGTATCATTGTCAAACCGACCATGCTCAAAAAGGATGACGAACTTACCAAACCTATGGCAAACAAATATGTCATTGAATAAATGGCAAGGATGGAGTGAGTGGTTGGAGGTAAGATAGGGCCGGTCACATGGAAAGTAAAACAAATCACGAAGATTCCCTTTTTGGGATAAGTATCCACTTGCTTATGCCGTGCAGGGTTAATTAAGGCACACAGAGTAACTCTATCTCGTTGGAATCCATGTTTTATGTTTCAAATTGTTTCTTTTCAGACCTCCTTGAATGCATGGACAGTAGTTTGTACACTTGCGACGGGAATGCTAACTGTGAAAACACCATAGGCTCGTACATGTGTGTGTGCACTGCTGGATATGAAGGTGATGGCAAGACTTGCTCAGGTAAGGCCGTGTGTATTTATTTATCAATTTGAGAAATACTTGCCTCATCTCCATTTTCTTGCCCATGCAAATGTGGAGTAAATTGGTGTAATACAAGTTTCATGGCGAAACCTGTTGGTGTTGAATTGCGTACCCATTTAGTGAGTTTGCAGCGTGAAAGCCTTGACGTCATCAAGTCAAACTCGGCTGCAAGTTTTTCTCAAAACATTTCTTCGTTTATATATATTAATAGACCTGAATGAATGCAGAAGGAACATGGATTACAAATGTCATGCGGAATCCGATTGTACAAACACTGTGGGATCATACATGTGTGCTTGCAAGGTTGGCTGGACTGGTGACGGCACCAATTGCACCAATATAGACGAATGTGCCGGCCTGTCACCAGTCTGCCATGAGAACGCTGCATGTACAGACACCCAAGGCAGCTTTACATGCCAGTGTTATGCTGGATACGCTGGAAACGGAATGATGTGTGTGGGTAAGTCATGCTATCACATACAGCCAGGTAGACGTTTGGAATGCTTTATTTCCTCAATGTGATGCATTGAAAAGGAGGATTTTGTGTTTAGTGTCTCACTTGTAAGGTCAATATATGTGACAGGGTAGTTAATTTGTGGACTTTCATCATAGTGTCATCGTCATCTAAACCTAAACCACATATCCAACACGTGGTCTAAATAGACAATGGCACACAGGGAAACTTGCAGGTAATTTATTTACAGGAATATCCAGGAACAAAATGAAAGGCAACTTTTAGTGTAATGTTAGTGTAGTGTTTTAGTGTCATGTAATTGCCATTAACTGTTTAAAACATGCAACTTGTTCATCGTGATGATTCCTTTAGCTTGTACTCAATTTGGTTGCCTCCAATTACTTCGTGTAGCTTTGATTTTAATTTTTAGATAACTATTCATTGTTGCCAACCATACGACAATGACACATTTGTAGCTACAAAATACCTTATTTCAGCACACCGTTATTTTTTCTGGTATAACTGTTGATTCCCAGATTTCAATGAGTGCACCACAGGTCAGGACAATTGTTTGGCCGTTACTGGTCAGTGTAGCAACACAGTGGGTAGCTTTGTCTGCAGCTGTAAGGATGGATATACAGGGAACGGTGTGACATCCTGCACAGGTATATGAAACAAAATGTGTTGTACGTATTTGTAAACCCTGTAAGTCCGGCCTAATACAAGGCCTGCGATGGGTAAAGGGCTGCCAAATAAAGGACCGGAAGCGGCAGGTACCGACAATTATTTCAATCAAACACTTTCCCCAGATATACAATCTTTCTCAAATGAAAATGCACGTTTTGTCCGTTGGACGTTGGTTGCCAGTGTTTTTGCATTCAGTGTCTACCTCTTACATTTCTTATGACTATAAAATGCTATGAAGATCTGACTGAGAACGTGTGTCCATGCAGCTATGATTAGGGGTGTTGGTTTCCACTGTGCAAAACGCGCAGTTTGCTATACGGCGTTTGTTATGGCCTATAAAATTAATCAAAATTACCTGTATAAGCACAACCACAATTTAAAACGTAAGCATGTGTAAGGCTGTGCCACGTGCAGGGCATTTCATGTACGGTAGGAAAGCTAGTGTGTCGTTGGTCCCAGGCACCCTCTTTTTTTTGGGGGGGGAGGGGTTGGGGAGTCCTACATCCCTTTTTTGTTATGTGCCGGGATGTGCTGTCACGTTTTTTCTTGCTCTGCAAACGCGCTGTTGAACGAAGAAGTTGAAATTGACTCCAATGGCAAAGCCAGTATTTTTTCATTTCCCACATGTTTTATCCTGTCGCAAACTTTGGTCGTTGTAGATATCGATGAGTGTCAGAAAAGTAATGATTGCTCTTCGAACGCTCGTTGCACCAACACGGACGGTAGCTATCAGTGTGACTGTGTGACTGGATACACAGGGGACGGGCAGACATGTACAGGTGAGATGTCCAATAATATATGATCAGCAATGCATAGGTAGTTGGGAATTTTTGTCTTGTTTGTCTGAATTATCAACCAAAAAATGCAATTTTTTCTTTTGGCATTCTACGCCTTTTCAAAAAAAATTATTTACTTTTAATATCCCGTAGTTAGCATTGCTCATTCATTGACATACAAATACCATATTGACAAAGAATGAAGCTGTTGTAGTGATATCCTAATGACAAAGTAGAAGCGATTACGTATGGGATTACTCTTGACAAAGTACAGAATAATTGTCAAATTTTTAACAGAATTTCTGTAAAACTCCATACAACTGTTAACAACACGCATCCTTTTTTAAAACTACAGTTGAAGAACGTTTGTGGCTCATTTTCATTTGATAAATTTGAAATTGAGAAAGTAAAATAATGAGATTCAGACATTTAAATCTAGTATCGGTAACATGAAACAAAAGCAAATTATTGTCTACTGCGAGACCAATATTAGTCTTGTCCTTGATGCATCTATAGTTGAATTCTAGAAAGAAATAACATGATGGCAATTACTTAAAAATAAGTGAATAGGGGTTTCTTTAAACATTGGAACCCAACTTGTTAACTTTTAAATAAAAACGAATTATGGCCCAAGATTCTTTGAATTAAACGGAACCGAAACCATTTAAGCTTGGAATCAACCGTGCAAGTTAATGTACATTAAAGACCCTACCCCACTTACAAAAATTGTAATTGTTTCCTTTCCCATTTGTCCACGAACTTTCTTACAACTTTTTTTACTCGAGATAAAAAATCTCGCAAGATCTGCGAGAACCCTTTTCTGTGCATCTTGCCGTGAAATCTGCTCAATACCGTAGCTGTAAACTTTAATAATTATTGCTCTCTGTCAACAAAGAATAAAACGAAATAATTATAATTTCAAATTGATTTCATTTTTTTCTTCTCTTTTGGTACTTCATGTTGTACATTTAAATCATAATCATCCGTTTTGGGGTGTTTTGACCCTCTATTTCCCCCATTGCGCAGCGTACTAAGTTTGCACTTACTTGTGGCAGAAACACAGTTTAGGATGGGAATGCCCCATTATAGTTTTTGTCATCTCTAATCACCTTTGAAATGGGATGAGTTTAAACAAATATCAATTGATGTTGAAGATCATACATATTTGAAACAATCTTTAAATTATTCACACGCGTAAAGGTGGCTCTGTCAAAATGCATAGCAACCAATACAACTTTAGAAGCAGTGTATGCCTCATAAATGTGAACGATAGGACACTTTTCCACTCACTAATCTACTTTGGTTTTGTACAGACATTGACGAATGCACTCTTGAAATAGACGACTGCCAGCAAGAGTGTTCAAACGCTGAAGGTACATTTACTTGCAATTGTAGCGCTGGTTTCATCTTTCAAGATAGGGTTTGCCAAGGTAAGATATTCATTTGCCTGACACGTCAACACATTTAGTTTATGAAAGTTCCATCAAAGAAGCACATTCAAATATACAAAAAAAAACACCCAAAACCATAGCACTTCGTGCAGGCGATTTTTTTAAATCTGTTTTGTTCGATAAGCAAATAAAATTATAAGAAGAAAATTGGGGAATTTAATTATTAAGTAAACATTAAACGACTTTCTTATAGTATGTGTAAGTTTCAATGCTGAATTCGGAGCCAGTTTTAAAACGGTCTTTAACTGAAAATAATATTTTGTGTGCAATTATTTCCTCTTCAGCACTATATACAAAGTGCGTATATACAAAGACTTGTATGAACTTATTGGCCATCACAATGTTTTTTATTTCTCACACAGCTGAAATGAAGTGTTTGAATACCAATTGTACCCATGGTGACTGCTACAGAATGAACAATACGGACTCATGTCTCTGCTACTCTGGATACGCAATCGATGGTGATCTTACAGTTTGTGAAGGTAGCTTTGTTTTACAGCTTCTTCCTACGTAATGTTACATTATTCATGATCTGTTACAACAAAGTAAGCTTAAGTACTTTTTTAAGAATTTCAGAAAGAATTATACGAACTGCTAGACAAGTGACAATTCCAGAGTAAGTTTTATTTCAAATCAAGACTGCAAGAATTTTTTTCCAGTGGCTTTAAACATTCGGGAATTCAAAGCCAAGTGACGGAATTACAGACTTCTAACTTTATTGCAGTTGAGCAATTGTACAGTAAATATGATACCTTCGTGTGTTTGTTGTTCTACCAATTGGCTTGGACAAGAGAAAGTTGACCGATCTAGGAATAAATGAAGACGAGTATTAGTAGGAAGGTCGACATTGCTGTCATTTTTGACTTTGTAACAATGCAGTGCAAAATGGCAATTGCTATTAAACTTTAAGCTAGTGTCTTGGTGATTTCTAGACACGATACAAAATATTCCTTAAAAGTGCATATATAAACAGTTACGTCTGTTTGTTGGATTGTTTTGTTCGTTTTTTGTTTGCTTTACGGGAACGACTTAAGGTTTGTGGGGTATGATTGGGGAGTGGAAGCTGACCCTCTGTTACAGTCCTTGCCTTCCACAAATTGTTTGTGAAGTTTAAGTTCTAGTAACTTAAAGGTAAAGAATGAGTATTTGGCACCTAATCCCTTTACTTGGTGTTACTGGAGTACTTACCTTTGAATGTTTTTTCCTCCCAACTCAATAATTTCACTTTCCTGTAGGCTTGCCAGCTTCCATTATATGTGCACTTGTGACAAAGGTGAAACTGTTAAGACCATTCTAGAGCTTCATCTTTTCTGACTGCATTTCAGATATCGACGAGTGTACAGTCTTAAACAACCCTCACATGTGTGGTGCCAACTCAATGTGTGATAACCTGGATGGCAGTTACGAGTGTCATTGCTATCCCGGCTACGCTCTCAATAGTGACAAACGGACATGCTCAGGTATGTCAATCTTACAATGAAACTAGGCACTAATAAGTACAATTTTGTTTAGCTTACCGTTGTGATATACGTCAAGTTGAACTCTGACAAACAATCACGGCATTATTTCATGATTTTTTAGATGTGAACGAATGCCAAGCTGATACTCATAACTGCGATGCTATGAGCCAGATGTGCATCAATGAAGAACCCTACTTCACTTGTGACTGCAGGCCTGGCTTCAGCAGCGACGTTTTCAACGGATCTTGCTCAGGTTAGCACTCTTTTCTGTTGAGCGTTCTCATTTAATGTTGTGTTCAATGGACGTGAACAAGAATAATTATCAAAGTCAAACATGATTCGCAAGATGCACATTATAAGCTTCTTATTGTAAAAAGAAGTAACCCACAAAATGATATGCAATTTGAAATACCAATTGCACATTTGACCCCCGATTACACAGTTTATTACAGGTGCCTAGGATCAGATTGTTCTTGTACATTTTGTATTTTGTTTAGCCCTAACTCACTAAGGGGTGTGCAAAATCATATTAAAATTGGAGGATTCAGGACTGTCAGGGTAGCAGCTTCGCATTCATCAGCACAGTATTTAAAGCTGGCCTGTTCAAACTTTAACTCACTGGATTTGATACATTTTGAGAAAACAGAGACAATGTATTCTTGAATTGTTTAGGTCTTGTAATTGGATTTCCTTGCCAACGCGTGTAACAAATAATGTGCCCATGGGCCCTGTAATCTGAAACCACCTTAAACATTAGTTTTTCTTCCAAACACCATTTCAAGCGAAAATATTCAACATGAATTTGACACATGTCTCCTCTTCACTTGGAGCATGTTTAAGGTTCTTTTTTTCCCTGGTAATTTAAATGATTATTCCTACCTGAGTTTAAAATTTCAAATATTTTTGGACTACTGTTTGTTGGACAAATTCTGAAGGTCGGTTGTGGACTTATTTATCTTAGACCAGTGAAGACAAAATAAACCTTACCTGCAGTATTGTCAATATGGCTACGATTTGTCAGTGCAGCATGTTACTTGCACCAACCCACAGAGCCGTATCCGAAACTACTCTATTCAAACACACCCAGTCATTGCCAAATATGTAATGTAGTCGTGTTGTTCTAACATTGTAAAGAATCAAGGGATCAACAACTCGGGAGAAATGCAATGGTCCCGCTTCAGATCATTTTTAATTTCTCTTTTGAAACATGTTTTTTATGTTTGCTAATTATGACAGACATCAACGAATGTTTGAACGACACTTTGAATGATTGCCACATCGACGCTGACTGCCTGAACAATAACGGTTCCTTCACCTGCCAATGCAAAGACGGATTTACTGGCACAGGACAGTTGTGCTTTGGTAATGTACTTTGTGAAATGTTCCATAAAGAATTAAATGACGCTTCGTTTTTCTTTTTGTTTTGTTCCGTGAAGTGTACTTGTGGATTTCTTCTGACTAAACTACACATTTACTAATTTGCCCCTTTTTTGTTTAAAGTTTCCACGTTATTGACATAGTTGATTTACTAATATTTGTCTCAATAGTTTCTTATGCAGTTGGCTTTTTAAGGTACATGTGTTTCTTAGTGGGATGGCAACAATTAGAAATCGTAAGATGTTTTGTTTTAACTGACAGGTGTTTTTTTTTAAATAGATATAATGGATGATTTTTTTTACCGTTTGCCAAGCGAAAACATCTGGGCTAGCATTCACAATGATGTCATGTATCTAGCTTTCAGTGTCCTTGTGTTTATTCCGTGTCTCAATGAAAGAGTTTGTGGATTGATTTTCTTTACGTTTTTGGCTTGAGAAATGTTTGGCATTCCAAAAAGAAGCCTCCATGTGCACAAAGTGGTTTTTGATTAACTAAACGAGAAATTATCAGCTAATTATCGACACAATGTTATTGACTGAGGCAGAAATCATCACTGAATTATCAAAGCCTCCTAGTTATTTTCCGACATTTTCTGGTAGAAAACGAGCCAGTCCCAAACAACACAATGTCATGAAAATTGAATAATAATCATAGATCGTTTGACATTTAAATTCGATTTTTCCCCCAGATATTGATGAATGTTCCCTACCTGCCAACGACCCAAACTATGCCAACTGCAGTCCCTTTGCATCATGTACCAATCTAGTTGGCTTATTCCAGTGCAACTGCACCACAGGATACGAAGGGGACGGGCAAAATTGCCAAAGTACGTGCAAACATGATAACCTGCTTTCACACATAGATGAGTGCCAGGTTATAGGCTTGTGGCAAAGTATTCTTATGGTTCACTTTTGGAATGTTGGAATAATTCTGCTGGGAATACAAATGATCCAGAGTATGGATTGTTTTGCACAAGTGCCCCTTTGTGGTTGTTAATAAAGTTAGGAGAGACACATTGAAGCGACCCTTGAACGCTTTGCTCAGGATCAGTGCACCCATGTTATGAGTTCCTACCACTGACGCTCTTGCGGGGGAAATGCCATCTTCTATTCATGTACAGGATCCATAGAGATTATCCTAATTTTCGAATTTACTCAGATGATGCTAATGTTGAAGTTGGTCATACTTTTTTTTAGTGTGAGTGCACTTTAATTGAAACAAGCTGGGATCTTCCAGGACCAGAATAATTTAGTTTCTGTAAAGTTAAAGCAATTGGGGTTTGGTATAAGCAAGCTTTAAAGGTAGGGTATATCAGTTGTCGTTTGAAGATCAAAATTGCTCAAAATTTACAGACGGGTGCAAAACAACTAACCTTATGAATTTTTAGGTCTTTGAATGCTGTATATTCCGAGAAAGCAATACTCTAGGATCTCGTTTTCAATTCAAAAGTCACGCACCTAACTGACGAATAACAGCAACCGCGCAAGCGTGTCCATCGTGTCAACGCTCGCGTTCACCCATTCACGGATTTGCCGAATTCCAAAATAAATACAAACGGAAAATTCCAAAAATGCGTCACTTGACACATCTTTTGAAATGTCCTTCTTGTATTGCTTTCTTTAAAACGAAAGCGTACTAGAAGGCAGCTTAAAAGAATATTTTAACAGGAAGTTTAGTTTCATTTCTTTAAACCAAATAAGACTGTCAACAATAATTTCGTCAGTGACTTTTTGGGTAGTTGCAAACGATACACTCTTCCTTTTAGTTTGATGAGCCCAGATATATTATTAAAAAAAATAAAAAAATCCCGCCAGATATCAACGAGTGCGAGACTGCAAGCTCCGCATGCGCTACCAACAGCACCTGCACGGACAACAAAGGTAGCTATCTATGCACATGTGATGCTGGTTTCAGGGGTGATGGCTTTACCTCGTGCGTCAACATCGACGAATGCCAAGATAATCCCAGCACATGTCACTACTTAGCTACGTGCAAAGACACTGATGGGAGCTACCACTGCGGCTGTAACCAAGGTTACCAAGGAAACGGAACATATTGTGAAGGTAAATATGGTTGATCAACCTTTGTTAATTTTGCTTGTGGCCTGTCTTCACCAAATGTACCCACGAATTGACATAATTGTATATCCAGATACTGCTGAATTTTCCCTTATCAGTGATACATGTAATGGGTATTGGGTTTGATAATGGAAACACATCCAACTAACTTTATTAAGTTTTTAAACCATCTAATTTGTTTTTGTAATAGCCAAAACAAGTCCAATGGCGACTAAAAACAAGAATTAAAGTCATGGATAGAGAGAGAAAGTGAGCGATAAAAGGGGTTAAAACGAGGGTTTAGTTAGAAGAGGATTTATAGCCTGAAGTTAATTTAACCCCAAAACTTAACATCGATCAAGAAGTTACCAGTATTTTGACAAGCAGGTTTTGAATTTCAGACTCCATTGAATGATTATGTTCTTTTCAGCCAGATTGTGTAGAGTGTATACACTGTATATACTGTTAGTATACCAAATTTGCAACAGTCAAGTACATTTGCAGACCAGTTGATAATTCCCACTTGCTTTCCACAAGACTGAATTTCAAATTTGAGATTCGAGAATTGATGTGTGTTTGTCTGTATGTAGATACTAATGAATGCATGACCGGTGCTCATGATTTTGCAGCCAACCTTGCTGATTGTAAGAACAATGTCGGTAGCTACATGTGTTCCTGCATAGATGGTTACGTCTCTGCGGAAGGCTTCCCAGCTGGTAGACAGTGCGATGGTATATACCCTCTCGCTTCTTTTAATATAACTAGTTAAAACCGTAATGGTGAAGTTTACACGTATGCTGGAGTATGAACACGCGCGGTGACATGCGACACTAGGTCAAGAACATGTGCGGCTAACTCGCACAAGCACATTCTAACTTGGGTGAATTTGATTCCAACGTTTCGTGAGTTCTAATTTGTCTATTAATCTCTTTCGAAAATCGCACCAAGAATGGCTATACAAGCCACTTTTGGCAAAGGGCTAGAAAGACGCAAAAATTTGATATAAGAAAATCAATATTCAGGAAAGCCGAAGGTAGGAATTGATATTCCTCTTAAAAGGGGTTAGATCATAGAATGGAGGGAAACAGCCACTAGGGAAGGAGTTCCCGCCAAAGATATAAAAAAATGTAAATGTATACGGATTCCAGTCTTGCCAGAACCTCCATCTTCCAACATGAGGTTTCAGAGCTGTAACAACACAAAACAGAAGCTAAAGCATATCCTCTGTTTGGGCTTGATGACAGTAGCATTTCCTTTTTGGGGTTAGTGGAAATGGGAATCTTTTTGTATAGAAAAAAAAGAAATAAAAACAGAATAAAATGCTGATTTTTAATTAAAAAGAAGACAACGTTTTCCAAAGGATTGCAACTTTTCCTCCCCTGCCCCCCTTGTTTTAACTTCCACTGTGCCACAACCCCTCCTCACTGAGAGGTGAAGTATACAAACATTGTGCCATAGGGTTCCTGTATAGTTCTTGATTTTGCAGGTTTCAGGGAAGTTCCTTCGCAAAGATGCAAACGATTAGACAAGCTCAATGCTTCTTGTTTTTCCCATTCTGTAGAGCTTTAGGCTAGAATTAAACTTGCCCACTAATGCTTGCTCATCATCAGGCAAGTCAATTACTGAATACCAAAAGAATATAATATATATTTATTTGTCTCTCCCCCCCTTTCAGATGTTGACGAGTGTGCTCTGAATCTTGACACCTGCGATTCATCCACTTCCAAATGTAACAACTCTGTTGGTAGCTACATGTGTGCTTGCTTGGAGGGGTATGAAAAGAATGCAAGGGGCCAGTGTGATGGTAATAAATGAAACAATTTTTTTTTTCTAAGTGTATTTAGTGATTTAGTGACAGTTTATAATTTTCCTCCTCCTTGTGGTTTGAAACCATTAGCTCTCACCGAATCATCAACACATTTTCAATTCCATTATTTTAATCTTTTTTTTTTCAGTGTAAGGACTGTCAATGTCTAGCAAAGAGCAAATATGTTTATTCGGGGAGAACAACCTTCCCCATTCAAGTGATAACATTTTTTTTTTTATATAAAAGTTGCTAAAGACACAGCAACATTTCCTTTCCTGGAATAAATGTAATGTTTGTTCACATTAAAAATCTGTAATAATTGCTTTAACTAAGGCCTTTTGCTTTTTTCTGCGTATGGATTTGAAAAACAAGTGAACTCATTTCAATCTACAAACTTTCCACTTAGCGGTTTGAAAAATGTTGCCACATAGAAGGAATCAAGTGCCCAACCAGTCAAAGCAATAAATTTGGTTTGATGGTCCGTTTAAATTAAAGAACAAAGAATTTGTCATCAGTGGACTTGATTGATTTTTATTTGGCATGATTCAGAAAGGTTCCTTGCTAAAATGATGAGCGAGTTTGGAATTTACGAAATGTTTGTTGGCATCTTGGTTTCATGGTGTGTAGATGTAAATGAATGTGATGATTCTCCATGTACGATGGCCAACTCCGGGTGCACCAATCTACCGGGGACATATGAGTGCATCTGCATGTTAGGATTCTATCAGCTAGGCACAATATGTCAGGGTAATATTGTTGTTCTAAATTTGTTGCATAAATGTTTTGTTTTCTTCTGAATTTACACTTAAAATAACAAATGTATCGTCCACATGATGTAAGAAGGAAAGCGTTACAATGTAAGCATGGCTTAGTAGGACACAAACATAAGAAAAGAAAACAATGAAAAGATGGATACACGGAAAGACGATGTTGCAACCTGCATCATTATACACCCACAGAAGCCTCTTGCAAAGACCTTAGCATTGTCTTAGCTATTTTTGGAAATACTCGTCGTACAAACAGGTAGCACAATGTTTCTGGCATTAGTTGGGGGTCATCATGTGAAAAGCGATTAAGTTTTCGGATTAGTTAATAGCTGTCGGGTCAAATTAATTAGCCGAATTATTATTTTTTTTCAGTGGCTTATTCAAAAGATGCATCTGCCGTGTTTGAAATCATCAGTGGCATGGTTGTTGGCAGTTCTGGATTTGATTTGCTAGCAGGCTCTGTTACCTTTCGCCAAGACTTGAAAACTTCGGTATGTAAATTACGAAAACTTCAATTTAAGTTAGAATACATCTATATTTTTTGTCTCGCCTAAACTGTGTGAAGGAAAGAGACTATGCAACTGCTATGTGAGTACGTGTGTATGTAGTATGTATGTATTCATGTGGTTTTTAGTTAAAGTTTCATTAAATTCGTCTCATTTGAAAAGTTAAATTCCAATTGGAACTTAACTTGGGTCACAGATGCAACATGAACACCCCCATATGATCATGATGTCTAAGATTACATACCAAGGTCAAAGGTTGTCTGAGGTCAAGTTGTAAAATAGGCTGCACGTGTAAAATTGGTCTCATTTGAAAAGCTGAGGTCCTACTGGAACCAAACTTGGGTCATAGCGCTGCAGCATGGGAATTTTCATATGATAATAATGTCAAATGTCACATACCAAGGTCAAAAGTCATCTGAAGTCAAGTTGCACAATAGGCTAAACATGTAAAATTTGTCTTATTTGAAAAGTTCAGGTCCAATTGGAACCAAACTTGTGTAATAGATTTAACATGGGAGCCTTTAAATGATAATGCTGTCAAAGGTCACACACCACACACCACGGTCAAGGGTCACTCTTTAAAGATAATCGCGAAAGCGGGTGAGACGCACGGTTGGAGAACCACCTTGTTTTAAGTACTATCAACATTTTGTTTTGTTTTTCTGATGCAAAACGACTTTTCTGGTATGAATGTCATGCTTACATGTTTAAATGAAATAAAAATAAAACAACCTGTTTGCATTTTTCGTCAACCTTGCAAACATGACCAGCATTTCATAAATGGATACCTACAATTGTATCAATGAGATTTGCATTCCAGTTGTTTAAATGCTAAAGCATGGGGAGCATAAAGAATTCGATGACATTCGAAGAAGTGTGACTTAAACATTTTCAATTACCATGAAAAATGGCAACTGTTTGCCCATTGACTCTCTTATGTGCAACCACACACATACTGGTGGAGGCTTTTGTAAAATGTTGAATAAACATTTCAAACTTCAAATCTTTAGACGGTGCGTGGCAGTTTGTCTGAACGTTTTAGATATTAAACATGGCTTCTCATCCTGAATTGCTGGTCCTCTTTATGACTCACGTTGCACTCAGATTGAGGAAGCCTTCCAAGTTTCTCCTTTGAGAAGTTCCTTCAGGGATGTGGTTGTCACAGACTTGACGCTTAACTCGGACTCAACAGCTCTGCTGAAGTTGGCCATCAACTTCGACAGTGGCTCGTTACACTCGGATCTGGACATCATCATGGCACTGCTTGACCAGCTGATGGGTAGCAGCGGGGGTCAGCTCGCTCCCAACCACAAGCTAATCAGACGGACATTCATCATCGGCGACCCCAGTAAGTCCTCGCACTCAAGATGAGTGATTCTGAATAGGCCTAACTACATCTGCAACCGAATATAAACCAATCACTATTTTCACAAAAATTACAACTGCAAACTCTGTGCAACAAAAATGAAAGGACAAAAGAAAAAACAAGCGGTTTAGCTAATAGCACGTTTCTAAATTGTATTTGTTGCAAATAACATCTTCCCTGTGGTAGCCACTTGTGGACATTTTCCTCTAAATCACACCTGTTCTTGGTGAGAAAACTAGGGGCTGAAGTCACCAAAAATCCTCTTTCTTATTGACCTGAAGACTTTTGTGAATAGTTCTTGTACTATATACCCTACAATTTTGTCAATGACAAATAGTTAAATCTCGTTATGCTATTTTTATTCATGGGCTTTTACATATCAGAGTTGAAATGTAATTATTACAATTTTGCTTTGCTCTTAACTGAATGTAGTTTGAAATCTTGTAGAATTATAAGAATACTGTGTGAATTTAATGCTCATTTTTGAAGCTTAATCAAACATATTTATTGAAAAATGGCCCATCATCAAAATAGAGCGAAAACAATTTGGATTGAGGATTTAAGTATAAATTGTATTCATCCCCAAACCCTTAGAAGTTAACTTATGTACTTTTGTACTAAAACAAAAATGCAATTTTACATACACTCTGTGTTGCCGTGTCACTGATCGACAAATTAAATATATCCACCACCATTGCTGTACAACAGCATTTTTAGTATTTTGCTGATTTCATTTAACAAGCAGATGTGACATTCACAGCATAGCAATTTTTTTTTGTAACCAGAGTGTGATGCAGCGCCCTGCATGAATAGCGGTGAGTGTATTGAAGACAACTTGGCCAAGGGAGGATACACATGCAGCTGCCCACCGGGCTACAGCGGACAAAACTGTCAAGTCGGTAGGTAAAATGTCCTTAAGACTCATTTCGTGGGATTTAATTAAATCTTAAAATCACAGGTTGAAGTTTACAAAACTCTCAAAGCTCAGTTCCTCAGTTTCTGTTCATTTTTGGAATGCATGTTGTGTTTAACTAACAATATTGACAAGGCGGTGTGATATACGCTAGAACGACGATACTGTGCACATAGTGTGGGCATGTTATATGCTTAGAGGTTTCATGTACATATTTAGATCAAAATTCCCATGGGCACAATGTGTAGTTTAATTGAACCTGTGTAGCCATGATATCAAGTCTCATCACAATTCCATAAAGGGTGCGGTTACAAGTAAATTACAAACGTCAATTTACAGGTCTGGTCAAAAGTAAGGGTTGGGGATGAAAAAAAGAAAAGGAAGGTCTTCGTCACAGTTCATTTGACTTTTTTTGACTTTGGATTTATGGTGGACTTACCAAGGAAGAGTTGTGACTTATTGACACTAGTCATACTGTAGTGAGTAGGTCATGCACTAAACCCGGACAGAGTCTATTACCTGCCAGTTTGTTATACAATGCATTTTTTAAAGCCCACCACAGGCACCTTTCCGATTTTATGTTCAACGGATCACTGATCACCGATACGATTTTTTTATTATATTTAATGATTTTGTGTCCAGAGAACTGTAAATCCGATTGGGTAGGAACCTGCATTTATATGAACAAGGACAGGTTACAAACGGATAGTGGAGTAAAGACGTGATGACTTCATCAGCGTCATTATATTTCATCTTCAAGTTGCATATTTTTTAAAGTCCTATATGTTGAGAACTACACGAACAACTAAGAAAGTCATGGAACTCAGTTTAAACATGAAACGCAAAAACTCCTTAAAAAAAATCATGCGGAAGAACCCTTTGTTCTGTTCCTCGAACAGACATACATCTTGTCTCTTTTATTTTTGTGATCTAATGTGTTTATGTTATTTTTGCCAAGCACCATGTGACAGAAACCCTTGCATGAATAGTGGGAGGTGCGCAGTTGACTCGTCATCAGACCCTGGCTACACCTGTACATGTGGTCAAGGATTCGGCGGCCCACAGTGCGAAATGATAGGTAACTATGAAACAACGTCTATTTTGAGTCGGTTGACATGCTTGCATTTATCTGTAGCTTATGTCAGAATGGAAATTAACATGAGATGTTTCTAACCATCCTCTGGGTTATACTTCGATCTGATTGTTTTTAATCTCCTAAGCACCTTGTCAAATGGGCAACGACTGCATAAACGGAGCAACATGTAACAACGCTCTGAACAACCCTCGCGGGTACACCTGCAGCTGTGGTGTAGGATATATGGGGCAAAACTGTGAAATAGGTAACAAGTTTATATTTTATGCTCGTTGAACTATAAGAAGTTTCATTGTGTATTAGGTTTTTGATACAATTTTGATTCTTTCAATAATGTCGTGTCAATTAAGGATATCAGTTAAACGGCTGTTAGTAAAGACTTAGCACTACTTTGTAAACGTGAAAACGTGAACATTTATATGAACATCTTTCAAACTACTTACCGGACATAACTATTTTTTCAGTATTGACAACATGGAAAAAATTCCAATCTACGCCCTTGTAATTATGTCAAACAGTTTGAGAAATGTTTTGAGACTCGAAACAGGAATATGAGACGAACACTGATTGCTTCTGTGTTCTCTTTTTAGCTTGTACCCTTACTTGCGCGAATGGGGGAACGCTCGATCGTGTAAAATGCACATGCATATGTGCTGACGACTGGAGTGGGCTGAGCTGTACAGGTCAGTAAAAAAAACTATAAATAAAACAAATAAACCAACAAAAAAACCCCACAAACTAGAAAGCACTCAGAAAGCGCAAACCTCCATCAAGCTAAATCACTTCCTAAGTCTAATGGGTTTGTAGTTGTACCAAGGACCACCCCGAAACAAAATGTCATGCAAATGAATTAATCAGAAAATGAATTAATCAGAAAATAAATACAATGTAGAATGGTTGTTTATGGACTACATGCTATGTGGTTGGCAGATTGTGGATTGGACTGCGGGAATGGTGGTAGTCTGGTGTCTACTACATGTCAGTGCACATGCGCAGGCGATTGGAGTGGAACAACCTGTACAGGTAATTATATTGATTCCCATTTCCTTTTCTCCTGTGCTGGGAGGTTGAAAAGTTATACAAGTTTGTGCAGAAAGTGTTAAACGCGTATTTTACAAACGATTTAAATCGTTGCGTCGCTAAATGTTGTCTGTGAAGTCAGTGCTATTTGCCGTGGCTAGCTACTGACAATGACTCATATAGACAGACGCAGAAAATCATGCCATTCGGTTATGTTGGAAATTGGGCGCTTTGGAAGTGTATGCAAATGAACTGTAAAACAAAAATTGACATGATTATAGCTAACACATTTACATCCACCATTAAGTATTCATCTCCCGTGTTAACAGAAAATTAAAGACATGTAAAAAATACATTCTATAAAATAATGAGTTAATTGCATTTAAACAAATAAATTCTAAAGCCATATTTTCGACATTGATTTGGATAATGTTTCTTTTTATTTATTAGATTGCGGCTTAAATAGCTGTCCACAAGGACAAAATCTGTTCAGCGGTGCTTGTCAGTGCTCAGGTGGGTGAAGAATTGGACACTATCTGAACATAAATGTATATCAATTAGCCCCTTGTTCTAAATTTCTTACAATAAAACATGAACTTGTATTTTAATAAAAATCACATGACCTACCTATTGTTTTCCAATTGACAGTGTGCGTGAGTTTGTTTCCGCATGCAATAGGGGACGTTGAACAATAGAGGACGATAGGGTCCCCAATTGACGATCGTGTACAAAACATGTGGAAGATCTTCCTTAAAAGTTAGACTACGAACAAAAGAGGGACAATAGGGGGTCCCCGATTGCAGGCAAATACACACTTGTGTGTGTGTTTTAAATCAGTTCTTTTGAAATTAATTTATTCCCCTCTGTCTTTCTAAAACAAAAAAGAAAGCATGACAGGAACTTGTCTAACTACCTAATGTTTACAAGAAACATCTAGTTGCATTTATTAATGTGCTCTCGTTTTTGTTGGTGTTAAAATATAAATATTTATATATAAAGCAACAAAGTATAAGGAATTAAATTGTATAATATTTTAACATTGTACACTTATTTTTTTCATGTTTGTCTCAGCTTGCTCGTCCCCCTGTTTCAATAATGGAGCGCAGGACCAAACAACTTGCCAGTGTACATGTGATCAGAACTGGACAGGGAATGACTGTTCTGGTGAATTAACATTCAAAATTTATACTTTGTCATATTAGTTTTGTCTAGGTGGTTTTTAGGAAATATTTTCCTATATTCAGCTATACCAAACGACACATAAATATTTTAAAAACAAGCTGCGTTATCCAACCTGTTCTATCGCTTTCTCCTGGAGTGATGCTGGAAGGGGGGGGGGGAGTTTCGGCATGATCCTTTCTATAATCGTCACTTTTGTCAACAAATTTATCAAGAATGCATGCTCCTCAGTAATATCCAAAACCTCGAGATTAAACAGCACTTTTGCGCAGCAGGGATACATTTTCATAGGCTATCGTTTTCAAACCAAATTCTTGTGCCCACTCCCTCCCTGTAAAATTTCAAATCATAACACAAATGTATCATTATTGCCAGGAAAATCATCGTTTGCGTAAGAGGTTTCCATGAACTATGCCACTTAGTGCAAGATGGTGAATCCAATCTTACTTTTAGAGTTGCCTGTTGAAAATGATGCTCAGAACTGGTTTCCAACTTTTCTCAAATTTGAAGTTTGTTTACACAGGTGAAAGAAGCTTGTCTGCAGTTCACATGCAGTGTTAAACCTTTCTTGGCATATCAAATGTTAGCTAACATAAGTAGGCCTTCTACTTAATAGTACGCCCTTCGAAGTGCTTGAAGACTGCCATCTGTTTTTTTTACAGAATGTTCACTGGTATGCAGGAATGGACAGCTTAATAGTCAAACCTGTGAATGCCTATGCACAGGTAACTGGATTGGAACGACTTGCTTTGGTAAGTGTTGTGCATACGTTTTAAAAATACCCAACTGTTGTGTATCATTTACCTTCGTTGAAAATTTAATGGAAAATGCATGATCTCCCCTGACTTTCATGTAAAGTTTGCATGGTGTCAGCATACCTTACAGTAGGAACATTGATCTTGTTGCATATCAAACACAATCATCTTTGTTGGGTGAGGAAATATGAGCCCATGTCATTATGAAAGAGTGAGCTTTATGGATCACCATGAAGTAAGTATTCATACTCAGTATCTTGTGTGACATAGCCTCCAACTGCGTGAAATGTCCAATTTACAACAAGCTGTATGGACAAGGGATAGTAAGCTCTGTTACTGGCAGCCACTGTACGCTGCACAAGGGTTTAAAAACAGGATAACTTGCAAACACTGAAAAGTATTAGAAACAGCTAAACTTAAACTTGATCGTAATTAAATAATATTTTGAAACGTCCTGTGAAATAATTGAGTCAGGAATTGTTTTATTCTCAACAAAGAGTATCAGTCTTAGCAATGATTAGCACCTCGCCATCGCTGAGAACAGGTTCTGAAAATATTCGATTAACAGCCAAGGGCGGATCCAGAACACAATTTTGGGGGGGGCCAAAACAATTTTTGGACCCCCCAAAAAGTGGGTAAAAAAAATTACGGCGTGGGGTTCGGGGCCCGCTTAAGGGCCCCGAAAATTTTTTGGATTCTAGATGCTCTGTGGTGCGATCTGAGGCAATTTCTGACCACTTTAACCAATGTTTTTTTGAGGAAAAGATGGTGGTGTACTCATTGCCTGCCTTTATTGCGATGTCACATAAAAAAAAAAAAATTGGTTTCGTTTTTGGGGGGGCCATGGCCCCCTTTGGCCCCCCCCCCCCTGGATCCGCCCTTGTTAACAGCTGCGAGCCAGCTGTTGACTTCATACCTAGTCGGGTATGCTAGGTATACGTAGGTGCTCGGGTATGCTATGTATATGTAGGTACTCGGACACAACCTGTGACCTACGGGCTACATAAAACCATTTTGCAAACTGAAAAATGTCTGCTGTATACTAAAAGCCCTTAAATCGGACTGTATAATTCCTCTACAAAAAGTCAGTTATGGAAATGTACATTGATCCCCTGTAAGTTTGTTCCTCTGCAGTTGTTAAACACCCGGGAAACAGTTGACCTTTTTTTAAGGATTATAGAACCGATTGCGATATTATCTGGACATTAATACAAAGTACACATCTAGTTCAAGTTGGTATCATAATGAAAGAATGAATTTGAACCATGTTCACAGATTGCCCATTGAGCTGCGCAAATGGTGGCAATCTCGATAGTCAGACATGTCAGTGTTCATGTTTCGGTAGTTGGACTGGAACTACCTGTTCTGGTGAGTTCTACTTTCAGTTGTAGATGATGATCTTTCTACGAAAACTTTTGATTATATCACACATTATTCCAGAAGATAATTTATTATTATTTTCGAGAAAGGAATTCAGCATGAACTGTTTACCCCTAATGCGCTCCTGAATGTATAAGATATTTCTCGACCTAACGAAGAAAACTCGGGTTTTTCTTTCAAATTTCAGACTAATTCTAATCACTACCGGGTACTTTTCAAAATATGTGACAAAGACGACACAAGCCTAGTTCAAACATTTTTTTCTCATAATACTTAGCTTACAGTACCTTTAAACAAAAGATATTTTCATTTTTAGACTGTCACCTTTCCTGTGCAAATGACGGTACACTGACTGAGGGAACTTGTCAGTGTGAGTGCGACCAAAACTGGATGGGAAATACCTGCTCCGGTGAGTACAACACAATTAATAGGAATGTACGCATACATGTATAGTATAACAAACACAAGCATATAACAATTACGACCATACCAACAATTGTGCTCCGAAAATTAAGCAAGGAATTGATAGCCAGAAAATCACGACCATATCAACAATCTTTTTGATCATTCTTCGTTAAAGTGTTCTAACATGCAATGCTCGTGTTGCTCGCATTCGTGGCCCGTGTTCGATTTTGTGGAATGGAAGATTTCATATGTCACCTTGTGAACTCATTCTTACCATAACACTTACAAGCATTCATTATTTGTATAGAATAAATTATAATTTACTAATGGAAATGTCCCTGTTCCAGACTGCAATTTGATTTGCATGAATGGCGGAACGCTCAACACTGCTACTTGTCAGTGTTCATGTGCCCAGAGCTGGACTGGAGCTGATTGTACAGGTATGCAATAAAAATCCATGTAACTCGGACCTTTAAACACTAAAAGAAAAACACCAGCCTTATGAATGGAATATGCAGTGTAGTATCAGTGTGCACGTGTTATCATCTTTGTCTGCATGGGCGGGGGGGGGGGGGGGGCAGGGAACACGTCTGGCCAAATCCTGCACAGTCCATTACAGGATTTAAAGGACAAAAAAAATCAACGTGCTTTATTCTGTTTGATTACAATGAGACTGCGACTACTTGCAAGTCAACTGCATCCCTACTTTAGGTTTATGCAGCAGTGGTCCGCATTTTGCAGGACTGTGCATGCGATTGTCAAGATGTGGCGATTTTGACTTAATGGTGTTCACATGAGATAAATGACAACATCCATCATGTTCAAGGTGAATCTAAATTAAGGTTACTTCGTTTTTTTCCCACCACTGTGAACCGGGTTTGAATCCAACGTGGGCCCATGCGTATAGATGTTCAAGGATTATCCGCTTCCGTAGTTTACCCAGGAAAGTCTCTCCGAGTTTATTTTCAACCATATTTCCTACCTCATCTCATACCCGAGGGACATCACCGAAAATAAGTCGAGAGACTTTCATGATCTATTCCGGCCAATTCCTAAAATAACACTTAAATAAAACACATTCGAAATATGAGATGTGTCGCGTGCAGTTACATGAGGATGAAAATACTGTTTGCACAGTTTAGCAATATTATACGAGTCTATAAAAATACGATTTCTGTGTTCATATTAGTGTGCCCGCAGGCTGAATCTAGTTGCTTAAATGGAGGTGCATTTGATGCAGACTTCTGTGAGTGCGTTTGTCCGTATGATTATTCTGGACCATCTTGTGCAGGTAAGATCTTACAGTGAGTCCTTGAAACCAAAAGATTTGCATGCGTTCACAATGCTTCCTCGGCAATATATATCACTTAAAAAAAATTATGTTTTCCCTTCGATTGAAGGTGCCGATTTCATCCCGAAAATTTTGATACCAAAAGTGGTATTGACCATTGACTTGCTGCATGATGGCAATCATGCAGCAAGTGGCGATGGTGTTGCACAAAAAAGAAGATGACTCAGCTGATTTTAATTTTCATGCTAATGCAAATTGCCATTTTCATGAACAAAACAGTGATGTCATGTTTGACAGCAAGATGAGTTAAGTTCTTCATGGTTTGACCTTTTTTTCTCTCAAACGTGTTAGTCAATTGATCACTGCTACAAGAAGTTAGATTGTAGGTTACCCTCTTTACGTATTACTTGGGTTCTAAGGTACGTACTGGCATTGACATCACAATAACAGCCTCACCAACTTGCTGTTATGTTATTTTTTTCAGATGTCAATCCGTGTTTGTCAGACAACCCGCCATGCTCAGATATTGCAGGGAAGTTCTGTCAACCGGCTGCCAACGTTGAGGGCTTCTCATGCCAATGCAATGGTTATGAAGGATTCTTCACTAACAGTGATGATTCATGCACACGTAAGCCTGTGCCCTAGGATTAAAGCCTGGGACCTATGAAATACTGCAAATACTGGGTTTTCTCAATGTCCATGCCACTCGAAGTAAAGATACTTACAATGCTGTATGAACAAAGCAAACTTTTGGAAAGGAAATTAAAGCAGCGAGGCAAGTAATTTTTCATGTTGGGTACCATTTCCCGTCCCCGAAATTTCAATGTGCCTAAAAGCACGGGTGCTGTTGGCTTAAGAACACCAAGCATAAGCTGGTTGTGGACAGAGAGTGTGTTCAGCACGTTGATCAAAGCTAGCTTTCCTCTCTTCCCTCTCCCTCCCCGTGACCACTATTAAAATATGTATTTAATTATAGGCAACTGGGTGTTCCAAAACCCTCTGACTATGTCATTGGCATTGTGGGTGAGTGAGATCACACATTTTTACATTATACCAATCCATGATCAAAATATGAAATTTTCTCAGTTCCCCCCCCCCTCCCCGAAAGAGTTACTTAATTCAATTACTTCACGACCGAATGTTGAAATGTATTGAAAAACACAATTTGTCGTGTATTTTCTTCTTTTCAGAACGCCGGTCACTCCAATTTGTCATGACATTAAACCTGCCTTTCTTTAGTGCCTACAACAACCCAACATCCGCTGCAAGGAAAAAACTAGCCAGAAGGGTTACTTCAGCGGTAATATACCATTCATTTATTCCATTAATATTTATTCGTGAATACATCTTTGGAAATGAACCTCAAACGTGTGTCGCTGCCCACTTGAATGCAGAAAACATCTCTACAACCAATCATATTCCTTGAGATGAAAAAGGTTCAATAGTTGGATTATTCACGAGTAGATCATCTGCTTCCTACGCGAAGCGAGAGAGTCAACGCCAAGTAATAAGTAAACAAGGCCCTTGTTTCGAATTTTGTTTTAGGACTTATCTTTGCCTTTCAGAAAAGTAAGGTTTGTATCTGCAAATGAAGGTTTTGGATAATAAAATGACAACAAATCTTGTTTTCCAAGGTGAAACTTGAAAATAGTGCGGGAACGCATCTTCAATATCACAAGTGACTTTTACAATTTATTTCAATTAAAACCGGCCTCATCTCTTCAGAAGGAACGGGGGAGAGAGCGACGACTTTCTGTGCCCCCGGCTAAACCAAAGCATGAGGGGTAGCCTATAGGTTTTTGTTAAGTAGCATGTTGTTGCAATGGAACAAACATTTAATTGTCCCCAAATAGCTTTTTGACCAAACAAATTGCAAACATTGGGAAATTGACCTATGTAGAAGTCGTTTGTGCCACCCAATGAAGTCGCACGACAGGTTACCGGCAACACACATATTTTAAAAACACGGCCACAGATCATGAAATATTATTACACTAGTGGGCCCATTGAGTACCCCCCCCCCATTTCAACATGGTTGCCTCGCCTCTAAAATGTGATAGCGATGGCTCCAGATCTGAACGATTACTTGTGTCCTAAATATCAATACCTGTGTAATATTTTTATGCTTTTATGAAAAAGTGCCCAATTATTTTTTTTTACATATCTCTGGAGTACTAGGAAAATAGCAATATAAAAATAAACAACAACAACGACAGCAACAACAATAATGACGAAAAATCTATATCCTAGGTGAATTTTGAAAAAAAAGCGCGTGGGAACGCACTTATGTCACAGGTGACTTTTACAGTTGCAATTATCTCGTCTCTTCACTATCTTAATATGTTTCTGCTTCATTATGCAGATCGTTAACAAACTTCGGGGAGATAGTTCCACCGACCGTGTGACTGCGGTACACGTTTTGAGCTTTGAAGAAGGCAGTGTAGTTACACACGTGGCACTAGCATTACAAGGGCAACAACCCTCGGTGAATGTCATCAGCAATGTCATAGCAGCCGGCGACACACTAAACGACGGTGTTGAGGACATACCTCTCCTCCCCAACTCTGTCAGTAACATAAATACAAGTAAGCCTTGTCAGTGCATTAGTTCCTGTACGGCCCCAAACCGCCCAGCCACTAGCCAGTCACTTTCAGTAATGCCCCCAACTGCCCCAGCACTGTATGGATTCTTTATAACAAGTAGTTATGAGTTAAAGGAACATTTTGATAGACCGGGAAACTTCCTCAATCAAAAATGCAATCTCTGCGACCATCCGCCCAGTTAAAGGTGGTCAATATATAGAGCCTGAAAGTACGCAATTTTGTCTTTGAGCTTTGACATACGAACTTTCACATCTGGTTTTTCGTACCTTTTATTTTGTTCGATCTCGTTTGTTTTCACATCGCGTACTTGCGTGATAATAAAAAATGATAACGACGCGGAGATTTAAGTACCTACATCCGATGGACTCGAGATTTAATCGGGCTCATCAACGGTCACTTTAGATTTGTTTGTAAATGAGAGTTAGTCCTTCAAGTTTATTAAAAAAAAACGTTTATCCCAAAAGACATTTTAGTCTCCTATTTAAGTTTTAGTTTGTACCAAAATGACCGCCACACAATTATTTATCTTTGTGCAAGAACACCTAGTTCTTGTAGTCCACATGTATTTTACAGTTTCCATACTAGATTTTTCAGTTTCCATAAATTGAGTTGCTAGTAACAACTTTACTTAGGACTTTGCGAAGGTGATTTTCTTAAAAAAATAAATAAAAAAATATATATATATTTTAAAAAGAATACATTTAAACATTCGGACTTTAAATTCTAATTTTCCTTTTCCAGCTGTCCGGAAGCGCGCCACCAGTGGTCAACTTCCAGGCTCTATTGAAGACATTGTCAGTGCGGTTTATTTAAACAAAAACCCTCAAGTGGATTATTAATGAAATGCCTTTTGTTTTCAATGCAGTAAATTACACTCTATTGATTTTGCCGTATTAGCGTTGTTATCAGACTGCACTCGAGATGATTGCTTGAATGGCGGAGTATGCGAGAGGTCAGACTTCTCCCCTCGGCGAACTTGCAGGTAATGTCAGGGGCGGAGCTAGGATTATATGAAAGGATCGGGGTATATTACAATACAAAGCAGAACATGACAAGTGGGCAGAAGAGTGCCTGAGTTCTTTGAGTATTTATTAATTACTTAGAAATGGAACAATGAAGAGAGCTCCAGAGCTGAATGTAGATTTTTTTTAATTTGGGCATCAGCCCAACACACTTCCGTGTGCCTCGTTTCAAATGATTAGATACACTGATGAATAATATATAAATGGATTTGTCGATTATCAGTTATTGAGAATTACGATATCGACTATTTGAGCTGATATTCTTGTACGCAGAGTGTTAAGTTCGTAAATATCACGTATCCATGATCTTAGACGGGAATGGTGCGATTCCTCCTTTCCTGTCCGTTTATGTTTTTTTAATTTTTAGCTTGACCCACATCAAGAGTGAATAGAGCTGGAGGGGAAAATCTTACGGGGAAATATCCGTTTGTTGAGATAATATTGTTGAAGGCGTGTTGGCATGTTTAGATACATTTTTCAAAACTTTTATGTGTTTTAGTTGCCCTGCATCATTTACCGGAGACCGGTGCGAGATTCAAATACCAACTTCAACACCAGCAGAGACAACCACAACGGTCGCCTCAGGAGGTACTTCCATTTACAATTAATGTCCATTACCAACCCCTTTTTTCATCATAATGGTCCTAAAAAGGTTTAGTTGACAGCCAATGCCTTTTTGTAAGATTGATAACAGACCCTTGGTGCAGATTTTATCTGTAGCAATTAACTCCAAATTGTTCTCTCATGAAAATAAGTCAAATACCAACGTAGAGAGGTTTGCTGGTAAATGTATGTAGAGTATGCAATACGGAAGTGACGTCATGACTATATTTTGTAAAAAAGAAAAGAAAACGAAACAAAAGAGTTTGAGCTCAACTGTGTTTCTTTCCACAATCTGAAGGATTTATCCTATAACAGAAATCTGTTGAATTCAGCTCTGTTGCACTATTTGTGCTGCTGCAGGTGGTGATGTATCTTCTCTAGCTACAGTTCTCATCATAGTCGGTTGTGTTGTTCTCCTGTTGGCGATATCAGGATTAGTTCTGTGTTTTTGCATGCTAATGAGGCGCCAATACGTTAAGGATCAAATCAACCGCCAGTCAACCAGACAGTTCCAAGCTAGTAGGGGACCCATCGATTTTGGAGAGTGCAGATTGCCCTCTGAAGAGGGCTACAGTGCAGCTGACTACCGTGGAGAAGAAAGGCGGATGAATCGTCTCGCTCATGTCATGAGCCAGTCCCCTTACTTGCAGGTAAAGCTGGTTAAAATGTTCTCTCCCAGGATGAGCAATAAATGTGACCCTATTGTAATATACATGGGACTTGAAGTCACTCAATTATGGGGATTGATGCTCCTTTAAATAAGACTCCCTTGCTTGAAATTAGATCCAGAAACAAATATACAAAAATTGTGTTCATTATTTTTAATTTTATTTATTTCTTCTTTATACTGGGTGGCCCATTCAGTCCTTTTTTTCAGGATTGATCTCCCATGGGTCCCTGGATTTTACAGGGTGTATATTTACAATTAAGTTAAACATCATATGAAACATCAATGTGTCCTCTTTCCAATGATACCTTGATTGGGTGTCTGTGGCCACGGATGACTGAGCATTCATTGTTATTCTGTCAAGGGTAAAAACCTTTACTGAGCCAAGTTTGTAGAAAAGGGTAACTGGTATTCCGGGCATGTGAAATGGCTTAATTTAAAGAAAGAAGACATCCTTTTCATTACACTATTTATTCAATTTTGACACAGTGATTTAACAGCTCTTGTTGCCTAATGCCTTCAACCTTTCCACCATCTCATTTCCACACAAAGCTCTGCTCGACGCGAGCGCAGTTCCGGGGGGGGGGACATTTTGTCCAGCCTCCCCCCCCCCAAAAAAAAAATTCCCCTTAAAAAATCATAAATGGCAGTAGCCAATGTTAGAATTTGACGTCACATGCGAATTGTCTCAGCGCCCCCCAAAAAATATAAAATAAAATAAAATAAAATACAAATTGTCGTGAGAAGGGGGCATTTGTACACTAATAGGAAGTGTGCTTGTAAGATTTTATCAGCGCTCCCCATTGACAATGTCACAGGTATAGCCTTAACAACAAGCCTAATTATTCTTTTGATGTGACACACAGACTCTGCAGAACCAGCCAGAATTATTCATCCGACCATACTTGGTGACTGGGAACGAGGAACTGGAACGTTACCGAGAAGACGAAGCGGTAAGTTCACAGGATCGAAACATTCACATTCAAATATTGAATGATGTACCTCTAATTCCAAGACTTGTTTATTTTAATACATGAATGATGTTTTTTTGTTGTTACAGCGTTATGGAAGGAATGTTGCAGGCCGCGTGGTGTTCAATCCCTCCCTCTACCGCTAAGCCTCATTATTGGCAACAGCTTCCGCAGCTGCAGCTGATGTTCTGTGAGGCAACGCCCATGGGATAAGTGGACCGAACCTTTATACCACGATTATTAGTCTCACAGTTATTCAAATTCAAGTGAGAAGCAATGCTTGGACTTGATATTCACCTTCCCATATTCTTTATTCATGTTTCTCTTGTTCTTAAAGGAGAAGACAAAGCAAACAACCTTTTCCAAAAGTTACTTTTTACGTTACATTTTAACTCAGTTGTAGCTGATCTTGGATTCCGTAAAGCATGTTGAAACTATACCCATCCTCTACCAAACACTACTTGAGTCATTAGTGATATAGAAAATATAAGCATTTAGTGTTATCGATGTTTTTCTTCAACCACCTACTTGCATTAAACAATACATTATGTGAAATATCTAAATAATCTCAGCCCCTTATTATTGCCGCCTTGAGCACACGTATTGATATTGAAATTCTACGCAGATAGAACTGTTAATTGATTGGTGAAGTGGTTCTTTTTATAGTGTGTTCTTTATTGGTGTATTCTAATCAGTAATGTGGAATACGGGATCTGTTTGTATGTAATCAAAAACACTGCTCAGGCTGTTTTAAATATTATATGTTGCTTTGCATTTTGATCAGCTATATTTTTCACTGTTTTGAGTTGAATACATTAATGAGCGGATGAAAATATTAAAGAATTGTGTTAACGAACGAGTGCACCGTACGAAGCGACTGCATCTTCACATCGATTCCAGTGTTCTTTATGCCCCCAAAATGTATTACTGACGTTATAGTCAGATTTTGAACACTTGGAGCAGTGTGAACCAACATCTACACGATTTGTCAGGTGCATGTGATATATTAATTTTCGCATTACTATCCATTTAATTTGATAGAAATTAGATGCTGTGTACACTTTATTGTAATACTCAGAGTAATGACACAAACTACAGCAATTAACGATAATTAAGTCCGCCATGTCTCTAAATTGCATCCATACTTAAGCTCAAACAGGCATATCAACATTTTTAATACAATATTTTACATGATTAATCTCAGTCACCGACCAAAGAAAACGAATGACTTATATAAAACCTATTGCTAGTGGCATTGTATACCTAATGAAATGCGGAAACAATGTTTGTTTTGTCCTATTCAATGTACCGTAATACATTTTTGAGGGGTGTTTCGCGTTTTCCAACTTTTGATTGTTAAAATTCTGGTTTTGCATCAATTTGAAAAAAAAAGAAATGTTGAGGTTTATCTTGAAACAGCTAAATATTTAAACAAAATGTATTCAATATGTCCAGTGTTATTCAATGTTAAGTGTTACACTGGCAACCCATTGAAATTCTACACAGTTGCTAGAATAGAGTTGTTAATTGATTGAAAAAGATTTTAATTAGTTTGTCTTTATTGGTGTATTTAACCTGCAATGGGGATAATGGGTCTGCTTGGTATGTCTTTCATTTTAAACATGAACAGACTGCAAAGGCTGTATTATGTTGCTTTGCATTTTAAGAGCTATATTTTACACTGTTGTATACATTGATGAGCAGAGGAAAATATATATTAACGTACTGTTGACACTTTAATGTAATACTCAGAGTAATGACACAAATTACATCAATTCTTCAATGATAATTAAAACCCTTATGCTCGTAAATTACATACATACTTTAGGTCGAGCAGGCATATCAACATTTGTTATACAACCTTTTACATAGTTAATATCAGTCACAAATCAAAGAAAATGACACATATAAAACTTATTGCTAGTATCATTTGATGCCTAACGAAATGCATAAACATTTTTGTGTGTTTGGGGGGGGGTGGATTTTTTTTGCTTTCCAGACGGTAACCATTTTTTTTTGGGGGGGGGGGGTTGTTTCGTGTTTGCCAAACTTTGATACTTCGAATTCTGGATTAGTGTCCGTTTTGAAATATTAATTGTCGTGGGTTGTCCTGCAATTTCGATTAATTTACGCATTCGAATAAAATTCAGCACGGGAAATGTTTGACGTTTTCCTTAGGTATTTTGTTTAATGTATTCAATATGTTAAGTGTTATGAAATGTTAGTGTAAAAACCCCGAGTTGTGTCAAACAGCTTTATTTTGATTTTTTTTTATTGACTGTTAAAATGATAGGCCCACCCAATCTCACGAACGTGTCCCTTTTTCATATGAAACAAAATATAAGCATTAACTATGGCAGCTGCCCAGACTGTGGCTCATGTAGACCCATCTACAGTTGGTTGGTTATTGTTTACGCATGTTTGGTCAAGCTATATAGTTAGGTGCGGAAGCGTATTTAGGACACAACCAGAAATGATCTCCGCCAACTATTCTGTCTGGGCTGATTGCTATTTCGCCCGGGCGGGTTACTATTCCAACCGGGCTGTTTTATTAGTATTCCGCCCGGGCGAAATAGTAATCCACCTGGGCTGAATAGTTATCCACCTGGGCTGAATAGTTTTCCGCCCTATTTCTTCCCGACTGATTACTCTTCCACCTTGGCGGAATACTAAACCGCCGGGCGGAAACCGGAGATGATAAAATTTCGTACCCCTCCCCTACCCTATACTTTAATCTGAAAATAAAGCTTTATGCTATTGGGCTTAAAACTGCTGTGCTACCCTGCGGCAAATTATGAGTGTTCTGCTTCGCATAATATGCAAAGAGCCGCCCAGTGAATACTTATATGTCCGTCATGTAGTATTATACTACACCTCATAAATATTTATGTTCAAATTAAAGTGCGTCAATGGCCGATTTCTCCGCGTGTCCGGGAAGTAAAAATGATACGCGCCCATGCCAGGTGACGTCTTCCCGATGAGTAGCCAGCTCGATGCCGTGCGGCACCAAAAATTTTCTCTGGAACCCGCCTCGTAGACATGTAGTCTGTGACATGTAAAATTTGCGGAACCAGTCTGTTAGTCCTTGTAACTACTGCAGTAAAGACACGTTAAAGAGTGTTGGCACCGCACTATTTCAACCCTGTGTCCGTGACACACAGAAATATACTAGTACGAGTAACGTTACTAGGTTTCCGGCAGTGACTGACGAAGAACTTGAATATCTTGTGGCAATATTTATTGAGCCGGTTCAGGGTGTTTTTTTGGGCTTTTGATTTAAAACACGCCACCTCTTCTTCCTTATGTGGGGTTGGGTTGATTTTAGCTGGTTGGGCTCGGGGTTAGTGGTGATTACATCAGGGACGTAGTTGATTTCATCATAAATCCAGTCACAATTTTACCACAAGACCAGTCACAAGTTTTTCACAAGTACAGTCACTGAAGACCAGCCAAAAGACACAGGAATTCTTTGCCAAAACTCATTTGAATATCGTGTGATTTCAAATGAGACCGAAGGACTGCGCTGACGAGCAGGTACAGGTTATAGACTCTACTACATACCTAGATGAAATGTGTAGGTGATAAAGATTCTTCTAGCACTATTTCATAATATACCATGGGTATATTTTGAATTAAGCCAACCCCACTACCTCTCAAGCCGCTCTACGTGATTCATTTCCGGACCTTATCTTCCATCCCACAAAGTCCTCAAGCTACCTAGGTCATATCAATGGGCCCAGGCTTGTACCAAGGTATGTTTGTATTAAAACAAAATATCCCCCCATTTTTGGATGTGTGTGCTGGGGGTTGTGGAATTGGGGATGGGGGAAGCCTCAGACAGAGGTCTCAATCACACCGATTAAAAAAAATGAACGGAAACGAATTTTCAAATTACTTTGGTAAGACCCTGCATCCTCTGATAAAGCCCGACAAGCCTGACATTTCTGATGGAAAATTAATTTAACAGGCTTCTATCCTCTCCTAACCGTGGGCGGGGCTAGTGTTTGACTATAAGCTTTCGTGAGACATTGACTAGCAGAAATGCACAACATTTTTTATATTCTTCTGCAAATAAACCGCCTGTGGGAAGTAAAAAAAAACATAGAGGTGGGGGCTAGATCCCATCCGACACTAAGTTAAACAGTTAAAATTAACCCTTTTTTTTCAGACAAGGGGCGCTTGTTGTCATAGCGACTTGGGCTGGCCACCGTTTAACAATGCAGCTTTCCATTGTGACCTTTCTATGCAAACAACAGGGGGAGCTGTGCAACATAGACACAACTTTTAATGTTTCGCTGACCATTTTTGGCACCCTAACAATTCCCAAACCTCTCGTGACGCCCCTGCCCCTAATAATCCTTTGTGCATGCTGGGATGAAAAGGGACTCTTTACTCTAGCACAACTTTAATCACATTGAGCCTCATTTTTTTCACGATCTTTTCAAAACCAACAATCAATCATAAACGCTCCAGCCTTCAGCATTCATCACACCTAAAACCCAATCCAACCGGATCTTCGACTGCCCCTATTTGGTAGATTAAGAACCCCATTTGGTGAGGAAGAAGTAGGCGGGAGTAAAAGTAAATAGGCTTCCGTTAGGTGTTGCAAATTTGAAAAGCGGTGGGGGGGGGGAACTAATTGTACACTAGAGTGGCCTCTCTGTGTTTTTTTCTGTCCATTAAGATTTCAAGAATAATAATAGTAATAATTTATTCATTTATAAAGCGCAAATTCCAATATGATTTTGTTCAAATGCGCTGAATTTTGTTCAAATGCGAAGAATCAGTGTAGGGAAACTAGATAAGTAGACAACTAAAACAGTTTTTTTTCTTGGAGGGACGTGGGCTTGCTCCCTCCTTCCCTTAACACCAACCTGTCCTGACCCCTACCTGAAACCCCACAACCATTAACCCCCAACTTCCTCACTCTTCAACCCCCACCCAAACTCAACCCCCACCCGAACGTCGAATCCCACCCATCCTCCGCCAATCTTCTAAAACCTATCCCCAACCAGTCTTAAGTTGACCTTTAAAACTCAGCGCATATGTGATCATCCTGACTTGCAAGACAATAATTTAAAAATAAAAAAAAATACCACAACATTTTAAAGTAAATTACTGACTTTTTCTGCTATCATTTAATATCATAGCGATTATGATTTTAATAGTCAACAGAGTAAACATAAGTGCTTGTTATTTTTTTTCCTAGTGAGTTTAAGTAGAATTTCATTGTTAATAACAAGGACAGACGATCACAATCGAAATTAAACAGTCAAAACGTCTTTGTACTTTAGTTTCCTGTGAATTAGATTGTCAAAACATAGCGTATAATATGAAAACAAATCTAACAAAATATATTTGATACATTTTATAATTATAAGGTGACTTTGTGTTGCACCTTTCAGGTGCTAGTTAAAATAGTACGATATGCATGAGAAAATTATCAACACTTCTGGGAACCAATTTCAGTATCGTAAACTTCATGTTTTTGAACAATATGCTATTTGGTTACAATAACAGTGCACAATGCATCGTTAATAATTGGTATAATTATAATAACATTCTTGGTTGAAAATATGTCATTTTATGCTTGATAGCCACTGTTGTTTTTGCCCTGTTCTCACAAAAGATTAATATAATGTAAAGGCCTTTTTTCAATGACAACTCTGCTACTTCTTAAATTATTGGATGAACATGCTAACAATTTTGTAATATAAGGTTTTGAGATTATCTTTTTAAATTTCTTATTACTAAGTACTCTTTCTTGTCATAAATCCACGCCTGTGTATATGCTCTAAATACATTTTCGAAATAAAAACAGCATTGTGTAGCTTGAAAAAAAAATAAAATTTAACATATTCATTCATAATATTTTGGAAAGATGTTTGAGCGATGGGTGATTATATGGTTGATATTTGTTTATTTGGGGTAGAGGAGGAAGCCGCTAAATGAGTTGTAGGGAAATTGTGTATCACCATACGCCATACCATGCATCGTGAGATACACCACGTCTCCCTGCTGCAGAACCAGCACCGCGCTCCCAGACACCTGCTCATAATGACTTGGATCATTGCTATTGCCAGTGACAACATAGTCGCTATTTTTCCTCAAATGAATGTAGAGTGAGCCAGTATTATAATATTTCAGCACAGAAAAATGAAACACATAGGTGCCCGGCACATTACCAGTGAATGCACCTGTTTCTAGATCAAAGTTGGTACCTGGCAGAAGTGTCTTGGTCTCCTGAAAAGGCAAACGGGTGTTGTGACTCGAAGAGGTATCAGTAGAGCTCGTCCTCGTCACAGTAAATGCCACCCGCTGGTTGGAGTCGCCTGGTGTCTCCCCTGGCTCACCCTTTTGACCTTTGACACCGGTTTGCCCAATTCCTCCAGCTGAACCTGGTGGACCTCTCGGACCTATCTTGCCAGTCAGGCCTATCGCATCGTCGCCTTTAGGCCCAGGATTGCCAAATGCTCCCCGCTCACCCATAGGTCCGATCGGGCCAATCTCCCCTTTTTGACCTGGCTCACCCACAGCACCCTTTGACCCCGGCTGACCGTACGGCCCAGGCAGACCTGGTATTCCGGGTGTGGCAGCAGGTCCTTGGCAGCACATTTGACACGTTGGGGACGCAGGACCGTCCGAGGGAACCGGCCCAGTATCGGAAGCTTGGAGCTTAACAGAGTTTCCCAGAAGGAGGGCGATTGACAGAATGGTTGCCACGCAGATCTTCATCTGTAAAGAAAAAATAAGGATACAATACATAAATATTAGAAAAATGTTGAGGTCAGGGAAACTTGCGGAATCGCATAGGAAAAATAAACATGCGATTTGCCGTGGTTAAAACAAAATGAATGTTAGTGTGTGAAGTGTGTGACCATTTCATATCACAACTGATGAAGTTCGAAAATGTTTCCGTTTTAAAGTTCCCAATGAACGGAATTCCTGGCCCACTTACTTCGCTGAAGCCATCGAAGTGATCACCTAAAAGAGATTCTTGAGAATCGTGTTGCTTCTGACCAAATAGTGCGTTATATTTTAACAATCATGTTTTTTTTGTTATATTTGTATTATTATTATTATTATTCAATAATAACTTAATTTGGGTGGATTATTTTGTTCAAAGTGTTATCCAAAAGTAAGAAACTTGCAACATGGGACAGACACGTTCATGCCAAACCAAAAGGAACGTTCAATGATTTTTAAAAATAATTGGTTTTAGCATCAGTCACCATCTGTAATTAACGGAGTGATTCTTAGAACCTTTTTTTTTAAATTGATGACATTCTGTTACAACGGTAAAATAAAAAAAAATCAACATATCAACATTAAAGAAATATGACTGTTTCGATCAATGTGAATCCCAGTTGCACGCTCAGTGAATTCCCAGGGTCTATTGAGAGTATCCATATCATTGCTAGAGTGGTCCATATTTCCTGTATCCGTTCTTTATGACCAACTTAAGCATACGTTTTAATGCAATTAGAGTAATTGACGGAAACAGGTAAACACATCACTACTTTTGTTTTGTCTGAAGAGAAAAAGTTTGAATCAACAGGGCAAAAACGAGAAATGAAAGACGGGAATGGGTTGATCTCACTGATTTTTTTTTTGGATCAGGTTATTGTAATAACCCTCATTATATCATTTAAATGATTCAATGATCAGCCAATATTATTCTACTTAAATGCTTCAATCACAGCAAGCCCACATGTAATGTATTTTGTTATGCATTGCAACATGGCACATGTATGCATCAGAACAACATAAATCGTGTCTGTGTCAGTATGAGATCAGATAATAACAAAGCATTGAACATTACATTGGCGATGAGATAAACAGAATAAACCTCTGATGCCTGGGTTAGCAAATGAATACCTAGTAAAGCAGAAACTAATGAAGAAAAAGGAGTGAATTTGTGGCGAAAATTGACATTGACATCGTGTACTTTTGTTGTAGTAACAGCATGACCACGGGATCAGGACATCAACCTGTACCGATAACTGTTGCAACTGAAACCAGAAACTTGAAGAGTCAACCATTTACTCGCCCTGATGACCAAATATCAACTGGAAAAGCTTGGGAAGAATGGCTAGAGGGCATAGAGAGAGAATTTTGCTACTTCAAAATTAGCAGCCCCATCGACAAAAAGGACGCCCTGATCATTTATGGTGGCAAAGAAATCGCCAGACTGAAGAAAACCTTACCCAATCCAGGGGATGTGGATGATGTTTATGAGAAGCTGAAGACACAACTGAACGGTTACTATACCCCAAAGAAAAAAAAACCTTCATGCCAGATACCTGTTCCTGAAGATGAGACCCACACCCCAAGAAACCAGCATGGCTTATGCAGCTAGGCTAAGGGAAAAGGCCATTCAATGTGAGTTTGGAGACACTCGTGATGACCGAATTCTAGAGCACCTGATCTAGCAAAACCATGAGACCCCCTGATGACGTAGCAAGCAATGTAGCCAAGGTGGGATATCAGCAATCATCACGACAGAAGAAATCCACAGGTGGGCATTATGGAAAGCCCAAATTCCATAAATCACCACCGTGCGCCTACTGTGAACTGACCGACACCCACCCACAAGGCAAAAACTGCCCAGCCTGCGGCAAGAAATGCAACAAATTCCAGAAGTGGAATCACTTTGCATTCGTTTTCCGAGCCGACCGACCCCGTGAAGAAAGCAGAGCCCAGCCCAGTCAGCCTGCCCCCCCCCCCAAAAAAAAAAATAAAAATAAAAAAATGTTAAACCCGAGAAGCGTGGGAATCGCGTCAAAAAGACGAGCATGGAAGAAGACGATCAAACTTCTTCTGATGACGAATTCTTTGACGAGGCAGTCAAACACCTGAAGCAATTGCGGGGAATCGCAAAAAAAACATCCATGACGACAGCACAGTCACAGTCTGCATTGACAACGTTGATGTGCGGATTGAGCCAGACAGCGGAGCAGAGGTAAACATCATGGACGAACACCAACACAAGGCACTGCAGCACAGATTGAGCAATCCACAAACACTACAGGCAAGCCATATCAAACTACACACCTTGCAGAGCGACTTACCTGTAAAAGGGGAGTTCCAGACGATCGTCAGAAATGACACACGTGGAGCAGCAACAAAGTTTGTTGTTGTCAAAGGCAGAATTTACTCGCCTCCACTTATCAGCAAAAACCCTCATTGAACTGGGGATGATGAAACTCCAACCAGAAAGCTTCCTTGCAGAAATAAACGACCTTCGAATTCTAGAGAAAACCCAGACTGTCAAATCAGTCAGCAACACCGCCACAGCTCGCCAACAGACACAGAAAGTCATCGAGAAATACAAAAAGGTATTTCAGGGTATCGGCCTGATTCGAGATGTCAAGAGCGACACAGACATCTTCGCAAAATTCAACATGAAGCCAGAAGCAGCACTGGTAGGCCAGAAACCAAGACCCGTAGCATACTACCTCCAGAAACCATTAAAAGAATGGTAAGACCAGTGCATCAAGGAAGGCATTTTTTAGGAAGTTTCCCCAGGCGAGCCAGTGACATGGTGTTCCCCACTCGTGTTGCAACTTAATACACGATTTGGACAGACGGTGAGAGATGAGCTACAACCACACATGATCAGAGCTAGCGTCGATCTACGCGTTCCAAACAAATTCATGGAGAGGAACAGGATCACCCAAGGGCCTATGGTTGACGATGACTGCAAAGTCTTCTCTAAACTTGACATGAAACAGGGCTATCACCAGCTCCTACTAGACCTAGAATCGAGAGGCGTAGCAACCTTCAGCACACCTTGGGGCAATCTTCGTCCAAGACGATTAATATTCGGTGCCAAATCATCCCAAGATATCTTCGATGACACTATCTTCAAAATCTTAGGGGACATCCCAAAGTGCCTTAACCAGCTAGACGACTTCCTCTCGGGAGGCCGTAACATCGAAGAACACGTCAAAGCATTGCAAGCAGTCTTGCAAAGAGCAGTTGACTTTGGTGTTACCTTCAACCGTGACAAATGCCAGTTCGGAGTTGAGGAGATTGAGTTCTACGGCTACAAGTTCACAAAGGATTGACTCAAGCCAACATCCGACAAAGTTCGAGCAGTCAAAGAGAGCAAGCCCCCAGAGTCCAAAGAAGCCGTGAGAAGTTTTTAGGCATGATTGGATATCTCTCCAAATTCATCCCTAGATGTACATCACTGACAGCACCGCTGAGAGAGCTGACACACAAAGACAGCAAGTTCAAATGGGGACCAGAAGAGAACACAGCCTTCGAGAAGCTGAAGGACAGTATCACCAATGAAGATACCAAGGCGTACTTCAACCCAAAACTGCCAACCACAGTGCAAGCTGAAGCAAGCGTTTATCAAGGTCTATCAGCTGGACTCTTCCAAGAGACTCCCAAAGGACTTCAACCAGTACACTTCATCAGCCGCACAATGACACAAGCAGAGAAGAGATACAGCCAGACTGAAAAAAAGCTCTAGCTGCCCAGAGGGCGAAAAGTGGGCATCTATCTTCACGGTACACCCAAATTCCGCATCATCACCGCTCACAAACCCCTGATACCCATGTTCAACAAGAATACAGCCAAACTTCCCCCAAGAATTGAGAAATGGGTAATGAACATGCAAGACTTCGACTTTGAACTTGTCTATGAACCAGGCAAGGACGAAGCAGACCCGCTAGACTTCCTTTCTAGACACCCCCTGCCGGAGACTGGAATGGATAGCACCGAGAAGATGATAAAACAAGTCATAGAAGCAGACCATGCAGTTATCATCGACTGAATCAGAGATGAAACTCAACATGACAAACAGCTCCACAAACTACACAAGAGAATCCGTGCGGAAGACTGGGAAAGTCACAGAAAGGATCCAGACATCACACCTTTCTATTCAATCCGACAGGAGCTGTACGAAGCAGACGGCCTGGAAGTTCCGACTTAACCGCATCGTCATACCCAACTGCCTGCAGCACAAAATCATCTAGGCAGCACACAGCTTAGGACATCTCGGGATGACGAAGACCAAGCAGATGCTCCGAGAGAAATACTGGTTTCCAATGATGAACAGTATGGTGGAGCAAATTCTTCGGACAATGCTACGAATGCCAGGTCACTACGAAAGACCATAAGCAATATCCAATCGAGATGACACCCATACCAGAGAAACCATGGGAAGTTATCGCTGTAGACCTCGGAGGACCGTACCCAGATGGTCACTACAGCCTAGTCGCTGTAGATAAACGTACGAGATACCCAGAAGTCAAGACTACCCACTCAACGACGTTCAAACCAACAATGGAGAAATTGAAGGAGATGTTTGCTGCACACGGGACACCACGACGACAAGAAAGCGACAATTGGCCCCCTTTCGATTCCAAGGAATTCACAGAATTCACCAAGCGAGAGGGATTCTACCACTATAAAGTCACACCAGACCATGCCAGAGCTAACGGAGAAGCCGAGAGTTTCATGAAGCTGCTGAACAGAGCAGAGCAAATCGCCCATCTTCAGATGAAAAGCAGAAACATCATCATCCAGGAGATGCTTATTGGATACCGCTCAAAGCCGCACCCAGCAACTAACATCACACCATACGAAGCACTGATGAACAGACCGGTGAGAACAAAGCTTGACCACAAACCCGCAAAACACACCCAAAATATCAAGGACAGCATCATTGACGAAAGCGACAAACAGTACAAGGAAAGGCTGAAACAGAATGCTGAAAACAGGAACACAAAACAACACAACTTTGTAGTTAGTGACTACGTCCTTCTCAAACAGATGAAGAGGAGACAAATGGAGTACAGCATATAGTACACAATACAGATGACGTAACCGTGCACCAGGATGATGCACAACCCGCGAACGACTGGAGAGAAGACATTCTTCTTCAATCGTATCTTCAACCAGATCTATCTTCAAACAAAGAATTTACATCCAGATCTGTCTTCACACCGCCAGAAGTAAACCCATAAACGCAGACATTACCAGAACCAAACACTAGGCCAAGAAGGAACCGCCAACGACCAAAAACAGACAACAAAAACAGACTAGAAATGTGTTTGTGGACAAACACTGAGCTGTTTCGACCGTTTTAGTAATGACTGCCGTAAAGGGGTTTCATCCAGGTCGAATGAACATGTACATGCGTATTCTATATACAAAAAGTGTCCATCTTATGTAAAACAAACCCAATTTTTCATGACGTCAAGATGACGGCACACATTTTTTGAAATGTCCTGTATCTATCTACGACCTAACAAACCTTTTGCCAAAAAGAATTTTGAATTAACCACGTTCTATCGATGAGATATGACTAAAAGGTCCAAAAATTGAATAATTCATATAAAATCTTATGATGACGTCATCGAGACGTCACTGCAATTTTTGTCTATAACACTTCCTGGAATATCTGCATACCGAGATTGAACCCAACCGGACCTCAGGTTCTCTAGATATAGTGACTTAAACTATGCAGTGTTAGGATGATGTCAAGTGACACGTGATGACGTCATGATTCGACCTGAATCTTCAGATGGTGGTCTAAGTGTGTGCCAGGTTTGAAGTCAATCGGACCGTATTTCATATTTTTTTTGCAAAATTTGAAGAAAATATTAAAATTTGAAAAATTCATAAAAATTCAGACGATGTTGTCATGATCACGTCACTTCAGATTTTGAATGCTTTTATCTATACCTACCTACCCACCAAGTTTCATAACGATCAGACATACCCTTATATGTGAATCACAAAATCACGTTTTTGATGACGTCACGATGACGTCACACATTTTATGAAATTTTGTGCATCTATCTTTCACCTAACAAACATGTTACAAAAAGAATTTTAAATTTACCACGTTCCATTGATGAGATTTGAGTAAAAGGTCCAAAAATCGCATAATTTATATAAAATCACATGATGACGTCATCATGACATCACTGCTATTTTTGTCTATAACATGTCCCGGAATACTTGCATACCAAGTTTGAACCCAATTGGACCTCCGGTTTTGTAGATATAGGGTCTTAAAGTATGCACCTTTAGGATGACGTCATGTGACACGTGATGACGTCATGATGACGTCATGATTCGGCATACATCTTCAGATGGTTGTTTAAGTGTGTGCCAGGTTTGAAGTCGATCGGACCATATTTTATATAATTTTGCAAAATTTGAAGAAAATATTAAAATTTGAAAAATTCATAAAAAATCAGATGATGACGTCATGATGACGTCACTTCAGATTTTGCATGCTGTTATCTATACCTACCTTCCCACCAAGTTTCATAAAGATCGGACATACCCTTATATGTGAATAAAAAAAAAATCACATTTTTGATGACGTCATGATGACGTCACACATTTTATGAAATTTTGTGCATCTATCTATGACCTAACAAACCTGTTACAAAAAGAATTTCGAATTTACCACATTCCGTTTATGAGATATGAGTAACAGGTCCAAAAATGGAATAATTTATATAAAATCACACGATGACGTCATCATGACGTCACTGCAATTTTCGTCTATAACACGTCCCGGAATACTTGCATACCAAGTTTGAACCAAATCGGACTTCCGGTTCTGTAGATATAGGGCCTTGAAGTATGCTCTTTTAGGATGACGTCACGTGACACGTGATGACGTCATGATGACGAAAAGTTTCGGCACACATCTTCAGATGATAGTCTAACTGTGTGCCAGGTTTGAAGTCGATCAGATTTGAAACAAGGCAAAAAGTGACTTGTAGAACGAAAACACGTGTTATCCTAAGGGAAAAACAGTGGGAAACTAGAAATTGTGGTTGTGAACAACCACAGAGCTGTTCCCAATATTGATTATCTGTTGGACCCATAGACATATAGGTAGAGATCTATGTCTGTTTGCAACATAAGATAGGGCTTTCCGCATTATGATTTGTTTTAATCAATGTCCCTGACTATCACTACGAATGAACATAAAATCTGTCAAAGTTAGCCGGAAATCGGCTAAAACGGTCACTGTGGACAGGATTTGACCTCAGCAACACGTGCGCTGTGCGCGGGCTGACTGACATACGATATGTACAACGTACAATATACGTGCATGTACTGTACATTGTGGACGTCCTGTGCATGTTTTAAAGCAGAGGTATTGTCAACCTGAAGTTTTAAGCGTGCGCGGGGCATATCCGAGTTTGCTTATTGCCTCGAATGTTTGAAACGTTTTAGACCTACCCTTAAATAGACAATTAAGGTAAAAACTAATATAAAAACTGCCATGGTTGATTTTTCAGGAATTTTCTAAGGAAAAAGAGTCTTTTCATTATAACTTCCGGTCTGATGACGTCATTCACCTTAAACTTCGCACACGTCTTAAGTGGGTCAAGGTCATCATATACACCAATATTTAGGCGATTCCGACAAACTTCGCCACAGACATCTATTCAATATACATTTTTGAAAATTTTCAACCTGTCGCTAGAGGGCGCTCGAAGATTGCATGACGTCATCGGTAGATGATTTGAAGAATACTATCAGCCAAGAGACTAACACCGTTAAAAGCAAGTTCATATCTATTACCACTTTCAAATTATAAGCCACTTCCGGTTTTGGCCTTTTTCGACCGGAAGCAAGGATCACGTGATTTCACGCACACTGAATGAAATATAGACCTCAACCTACTCTACCACTTGCTGGCAACAGAATGCTGCGGACGCGTACGATTGATTTCTTATGCATTTTTAAATATTAAAAGTGTAACAATTTAATTGCCTATAAATAAGCACCGGATGACGTCATCATGACGTCATCATTACACAATGTTGTTTGAATAAGGGTCTTTGCTTGGACAAAGATTGGTGTAAATGAATTACTGGCAAAGAGTCCAAAATGCCCTCTGAAAATTGACATTTTTTTTAAATTTCTGTGTACAAAGTCTATGGGAAAAATTAAATATTCAAAATTCTATAATAAATCACGTGATGACGTCAGCATGATGAAAAGTTTCGGCATACATCCTCAGATGATGGTTAATAACTATGCTGAGTTTAAAGTTGATCAGATTTAAAATAATTGCCAAAGTGGCTTGTAGAATAAAAACGTGTACAAAACCTATGGGGAAAAGTGGAAAAAGAAAAAAAAAGAAAAAAAAAAAGGAAAAAAAAAAACTTTAACGAAAACAATAGCTGTTCCCAATTGAAATTGGGAACAGCTAAAAAAAAAAAAAAGGAAAAACTAGAAATTGTGGTTGTGAACAACCACAGAGCTGTTCCCAATATTGATTATCTGTTGGACCCATAGACATATAAGTAGAGATCTATGTCTGTTTGCAACAGAAGATAGGGCTTTTCCGCATTATGATTTGTTTTTATCAATAATACGTCCCTGAGTATGCATGAACATAAAATCTGTCAAAGTTAGCCGGAAATCGGCTTAAACGGTCACTGTGGACAGGATTTGACCTCAGCAACACGTGCGCTGCGCGCGGGCTCACTGACTACGATATGTACAACGTACGTGCATGTACATGTACATTGTGGACTGTGCATGTTTTAAAGCAGAGGTAGTGTCAACCTGAAGTTTTAAGCGTGCGCAGGGCATGTCCGAGTTTGCTTATTGCTTCAAAGCTTTGATATGTTTTAGACCTACCCTTAAATAGACAATTAAAGTAAAAACTAATATAAAAACTGCCATGGTTGATTTTTCAGGAATTTTCTAAGGAAAAAGAGTCTTTTCCTTATAACTTCCGGTCTGATGACGTCATTCACCTTAAACTTCGCACACGTCTTAAGTGGGTCAGGGTCATCATATACACCAATATTTAGGCGATTCCGACAAACTTCGCCACAGACATCTATTCAAAATACATTTTTGAAAATTTTCAACCTGTCGCTAGAGGGCGCTCGAAGATTGCATGACGTCATCGGTAGATGGTTTGAAGAATACTATCAGCAAAGAGACTAACACCGTTAAAAGCAAGTTCACATCTATTACCACTTTCAAATAATAAGCCACTTCCGGTTTTGGCCTTTTTCGACCGGAAGCAAGGGTCACTTGATTTCACGCACACCGAATGAAATAAAGACCTGAACCTACTCTACCTCTTGCCGGCAACAGAATGCTGCGGACGCGTACGGTTGATTTCTTATGCATTTTTAAAAATTAAAAGTGTCACTATTAAATTGCTTATAAATAAACACCGGATGACGTCATCATGACGTCATCATTACACAATGTTGTTTGAATGAGGGTCTTTGCTTGGACAAAGATTAGTGTAAATGAATTACTTGCAAAGAGTTGAAAATGCCCTCTGAAAATCGGCATTTAAAAAAAAAAAATTGTGTACAAAGTCTATGGGAAAAATTAAATATTCAAAATTCTATAATAAATCACGTGATGACGTCAGCATGACAAAAAGTTTCGGCATGCATCCTCAGATGATGCTTAATAACTATGCTGAGTTTAAAGTTGATCGGATTTAAAATAATTGCCGAAGTGGCTTGTAGAATAAAAACGTGTACACAACCTATGGGAAAAGTGGAAAAAGAAAAAAAAAAAAAAAAAAAAAAAAAAAAAAAAAGGAAAAAAAAAACTTTAACGAAAACAATAGCTGTTCCCAATTGAAATTGGGAACAGCTAAAAAAAATAACAAAAACAAGAGCTGTTTTCGGCGTGTACACCGAAACAGCTAAAAAAAGGAAAAGAAAGGAAACGAATCAGTTTCAAAGAAAAAAAAAGAAAACTAAGGATTTGTTCAGATATTTTTCCAAAAGAGATGAAGAAAGAAAAACAGTTTCGGTTGGATATTGTTCATTATAATTCAGCTTCAG